ATTTTCAAGTATTCTTTTTATTTTTATCTTATGGGTAGATATCAATTTAGGGTGTAAGAAAATATTATACAGTTTTAAAAGTATCAATGTGTTAAAATATAGTGAAATCTGTGTGATAATTTCAATCATTTTTGTATTGCTAAATTGATTGAATTACACTTAAATAAATTTAATTATGATATCAGGTCACACACACACACACACACACATACACACACACACACACACACACACACACACACACATACACACACATATACAGAATTTTGGTAATTATACTTCGAGAAAATCTTCGTTTGCTATATTAATGTAATTATGAGATACTTTCGCGTTTGCTGTGTTAATAGGATTCACTAACAATTTATCATGACAAGGTACTTTTCGATAAGCGGATTCGTTTGACATATTCCAGATAATGAGATTGGCAAACATTATGTGATTGTATTATTGCAAATGTCAGGATATGTTATAATTGTAATAAAAAATATAGGAACAGCTGATAATTTTTTAGATTTACTTTTAATATAAAGCCGCGTCTAGATCTTGTGATTGCATTGCAAATATTATAAGTATTCTTTTTTAATAAATATAATCTAAGAGATAGAGATTAGCATTTATAAGAGATAGAGATTAGCATCTCTACAATGTATACTAGTTTCTATGGAATTGATTGTATATATATTGATAAAAGAAATATTTTCAATAATTTTCAAGATATGTATATTTTTGCAATTTTTAATGATTATAATTATAATTAGTATTATATAAGTATGCGAAATAAAGATAAATATTTTTATGAGTATATTTTTAAGAGTAAATATAGACAATGATTATTGTCATATTATTTATAATTTTTTAAAAATCTATCTATAATATTTGGAATAATTACTCGTTTAGATATAAACAGACAGTCTTTATCTCTAAAAATCCCACACACATAGATACGCCGGCAGTATAAGAGATGGAATTTAAAGGGATTCAGCGGTTATGCATTCTGGGAAGGTGTGCACTGCGAAATGCAGCCGCGATGGATATTGGATGTGGATGATGGGGTAGCCGCGTCGTTCCGCGCACGGGGAGGGGGGGAGGGGGCGGCAGCTATGGGGTAGCAAAGCTAAGCCAGTAATGCAATAACTTGAATAGAGGGGCACGCAGGCGGAAAGAACATAACGTACCCCTCCGAGCATCCCTTTCCCCATCTCTCCCTCTTTCTCTCTCCTGCATTCTCTATCTTTATTTTCGGAGTACATGGGGTACATACGAATCTGCACATGTATAACCACTGGCACGGTGCACGACGAAACGTAGCTCGAGGGTGGTTGCGGGGTTCTTCACCCCCCTGACTGGGAAGGTACCCCACGTACAGTCGGTCACGTTAAAAGGCTTTTAGTACTCACTCGTTCGCCGTTATTGAATCTCGAACCGCTCGCTTGGGGTTGAGTAGTAACTGGAGGAATCGCATTCGTACGTTCACTAGGTACAGCTCTTCATGTTATAGTCTTATCGCGTGAAAAAAAGTTGCTATCAATTTCTCGTAAAAGATTTAATTTTCTCATAAAGGAATCGAAAATCGATATGATATCGATAGGTTCAATTTTGGATATTAAATTTGATATCGCATACCAATTTTCGATCCCTTTATGAGAGAAAATCTTTTATGAGAAATTTGATAGCGTCAATAGTTTGTAAAATATCTCATGAATATTAAAATAAGAATGATATAAAGTTGATATAATATCAACGAATTCAGATTTCGATATTGTAGATTTTGGAAATAACATATATTACTCGACTTTATAATTTTTATTTTAATATTTGTGATATTTCATGAAATCATTTTTGTGCTACAAAATATAATAATTCTCAAATTCTTTTTATATCATAACCGATATTCAATATCAAATATCTTTATAATTCTCATAAATTAAAGTTATGTTAATGTAAAATCGATTGAAGAAATTATATGAAGATTAAAGTCTTCTTATTTCCTTGTCGAAAAATTGTATTCATACATCTTTCACGTTAATTTATATAAAATCGATTAAAAATTATAACTGACTATACTGATCTGCAAATTACATATTTTATGAAATTAATGTTTTAGAAATAGGTGATAAACGGTATATTATAATGGTGAAAATTGCTACGAGAAGTCGTTTCGCACCCAATATGAGACTTCATCGCTCATCGTAATCGTCGTACGGTGTTACAAAGACTCCCTAATGAAACTTAGAATTAGTGACGCGATTGACTGTACCTGTACCACAGGAGGGTGATCCCGAGAGTTAAACCCCGCGACTCAGGAACGAATGAGGGGGTGAGGGGATTGAGACGGGAGATGGTCGATGCTCTCCCAGTCAAATATGGAGAAAAAAGACAGAACGAGCGAGTGAATGAATGGCTACCAATCTGTTCCATCCCTTTGTTGGAGCGGCTCGTGCCGCGTGTGCAAATCTACCCCCGTTTCACCCCTCTGCCTCCTTTCTCCTGATTCCCTGGTCACCCCTGCGAATCCTACCACTGCGCACACGCCTCACACCTGAGCACAATGGGCGGCCGATTTCGTTTCTCCCTCGGTTCTACCTTCTCGTGTTTTAAATACTGATATACCGAGTCTGCACGTATTTCGTGTCTTTATTCCTTGATTTTCTCTTAGTTTTCCACTCCGTGAAAACATCATGCGTGTGTTTCAATATGTATGTTGTGACAGCAAAATCATCAAATGAAAACAGAGGGAGAATTCACCGAAATATATAATTATTCTAACGATAAAATTCTTAAGAGCTATAATTTGCCCACCGCCGAATTATATAATTTTGACCTCGAGTCTATTGATTTTTTAGTCCTTTTATATGAAGCCTATTATAATTATAATTAAAGCCTATTAAATTAAAATCCAAAATGTGTGATATGTAATTTTTAAAATTAAATAAATAACATTTGTATGTGCGTGTAGCTAATAAGTATGTTTTAAAAATATTTATCATGGTATATCTATTAAATAAAAATTAATAATACATAAAATGCTTTTTAAATAGATTTAAAAAAAGATATGAAAAAAAAATAGATTATATTTTTTCTATATTTTTCAATATCCTAAATTTTTCTTTTAGAAAAGATTTATAGAGGTCAAAAGAATCGAAGAAATGCACTTAATTTAGAGTAATTTTTTAAAATAATTAAATATATTAAACAATATTTTATCATATTCTTTTAGTAAGAATCAGATAAATATTGCATTTCTCATTACATAAAGTCATGATTTCTATGGATTCGTATGAATAATAATATATACAATGTATAATTAATGCTGTCAAGTTTTTGTTACAGAACGTTTTGAATATAAGAGAATTGGCACAGAGGATGTTGCGGCCAACGAGGAAAATAAAACGGAGCGATTTATCGCTATCAACGTGTGTAGGAACGAGTAAAAATGAGAGTATAGAAGCTGTAAATAACAATTATACTGCGCAAATTCACGTAGAAAATATTCATATACAGATATTCAATTTTCCAATAAAAAGAAATGAGTGGTATTAATTCGTTCTTCTATAAAAAAGATCTTTGCTTGATCTATAATTCTATATTGGACACAAACAATATGAGAAAGAGAGAGAAAGAGAGAGAAAGATTGGATGAAATAGTATAAATTAATAAAAACAAATCAAAATTTAGCATCAAAGCGTAATTGAAGATTTTTCTATGCAGCGATATCTAATTTATTAAAACGTAAAGAAATAAATTTGAATTTGACATTCTTTAATTCTAATAGATTAATCTTCTCAAGTTTTTGAAAAGCGGATTAAACTATTGTTGCATTAAATTATTTTACTTTTTCTTGATTGCATTATATCCAAATTTGCTTTATTCATCTCTATATTTTTTCTTTTTTCTTTCTTTTTGTTTTTTAATAAAAAAATGTTTCATGTGTCATTCTTTTTTCCAATTTCTGATTGATATCAATATTCGCTTATGTCAACGCATATTTCAGACGGTCGAATATTTTTGTGCGAAATACTATAGCAGCGCCCATATACTCTCATCCACCATATAATCGTAAACTTATCGTCAATCTCAATTTCAGTAGCGCGCTCATCTTATGATTCATAAATTTCAATATATGTGGGTCCATGTGTACCTGATCAAAGGCGATTTAGCTCAGTGTATATCTTAACAGTTCGTAGGTGCGTACGAATGACGATCATTAACGAACATGCGGGCACCACGGTGGGAATTCCACTCAATTTAAGTATAATTGTTTAATTGAGGATCTCCTCGCCGAAGAGCTCGCCGCATAAATTGGTCGTTTACGGTTCTGTTTTCTCATCGTATTTTCGAGAGCTTTACAAAATAACACAAAAATTACGATAGAAATTTCATATTATTCTTCTTGTCGCAATTTCTCTTATCTCTTCTTATTTTTATTTTTATAACAAGAGGTATATTAATAGAATATTAATAATTAATCAACTTTCTGACTTCTCTTAATATGCATGTATCTAGGATATCCTATTTTTACCAGAAAAAAATATAAATATAATAAAAATATTATAAAAAAATAAAAATAAAGAAGCGATATTTTTAATTCTACAGTATATGTACGTATAAAATATGTACATTTTATTTTAATTCTGTTATTAAACATAAGAGATTAATTATTCTGATATATTATAACATATAAAAGTACATGTGACAGTATTCTGTCAGATATACTTTTATGTATGTTTAGTATTTTGTATTATAAAAAATCTAAGAAAACAATAAAATGGATTTTTTATCTGTTGTTAAAAAATAAGTTATTACTCGCTATAAAAATATATTTATATTGATATAATTGATATAATTTTATAAAATGACTGTTAGATATCATCTTTGTATTTGAATATAAATATCACGCAGAAGAAGATACAGAAGAGAAATAAAGAGAAGATGTGATAAGACATAAACGGCACAAGCGAGATCTTCGCAATCGTGGAAAAACGATATAATATGTATTTTAGGAGAAGAGATCGTTTCCACGATCGTTACTGGAAGGATATAGCGACGGGGATGAAAATCATGATGCCACGTGGCCCGCGGGTACTTCAGGAAGAACAAGGGGAGAACTTGGACTAGTATTACCGGCCCCGGCTCTGGCGAACGTGAGTTACCTTTACTGCGTTTGCTATTCTCCATTGTGCATGACTACGATACGGGACCGTGTAGGGGAGGCTGCGAGAGAGATCGCATGAGTCATACGGAGGCGAGCTTCGTCCGCATTGGCGTAGCATATACGTCTTTCCGAAGGGTAAATCTTATCTCCCGAAATATATCACATTTCGTTCACAACTTGTTTTTTCATCATTGATTAATATGTTGCGTATGTTTTGTTCTCAGCATGCATTTAGTATATTTAATCTGTAAAATAGTCAACTAAAATAATATGGTTTTTTAGCTTATTATACAAGTTGAAAATTGTTTTCATTAAATAAGTTTAAGATGTGTGTTCCTCACGTGCGGTAAAAAAAAGTATTTAAGAATAGAAAATTAAGAAGATGAAAAGCAAAATATTAAAAGACTTTTAAGTTGCATAAAATATAAAACAAAAAATCGTAAGACTAAATTGGAGAAATATTATTATATTTAAAAATCAAATAAAATTTAATAACACAATTTTATATTTAATAATAATATTATTAAATATAAAATTATATACATATATATATATATATATATATATATATATATATATATAAATTCTATATAGTTTTCATCTATTTTAAATATAATTATTTTTAATATTTTAATATAAATAGTATTTCTCTATCTTTATCTGTCTTTCTCTGCTTCTTTGTTTTTTTAGTACTTATATAGAAAGCAATTTTTTGCGTGGAAAGAATAGGTAAAATGTCTTAATTAACTTGGAAAAAATGATTTCCAGACAATAATATAACTTGAATATAAATTAAATATATTTGTGCAAATCAGAGAAATAATTAAATGAATCAACTGCAAAAAGACTTATAGCGATATATATGGACGCGTGGAAATGATTTCTAATTTTACTCGTGAGAATTTAAGATACATTCCTAATTAATCGAAATGACAGCAATCGCGAAATCATCGATCCACGAATAATCGTGAAAAAGAATACGTCGCATACCTACGTCATTGCGCCGGTCAATGCATCAATCCGGTCTGCATCTGTATGTATTTACGCTTGAGAGGGGCGGAGGGGGTGGACAGGGGGGGGAAACCCCTATGTGACATCCCCCACGCGGGCCCGCTTCGTTTCGCTGGCTGACTTCTGTCGCCTAACTCCAAAACACCCCTGGACCCTGCCACCTCCCTTTACCTTTAATCTTTATCAATCCATCCAGCCGAGTCGACGAATCGAACGCACGAACATGCACGAGACGGGACGCATGAGATGCGGACGCCACCGCGTATTATTCACGGCCGATAGCGCCTTCATCCTCCTCTCCCCCTTCGCCGCTTGATCCGTCCATCTCTTTCACCGAGTTTCACCCTCTCTTCATTCTCCATTTCGCCCATGTGTACCCTTCGTAGCCTCGTATCCTAAACAGTACAACGAATGAGAATGCACGAATCGTTAATTACGAGATATCAGTTTTTTTTTTCTTATTTCCCTCTCCCTCCCCCCTCTCCGCATTTTTCCTGTATAAACGTGTTTCGATCTATATTGTACTTATTAATGTAATTAATTGTATTTATTAATATATTGTATTTATTAATATATTGTATTTATTAATAATAACAATTAAGCATTTATGTATCTTTTCTCGGTGTTTTTTTACTATTTTCGTAATTTAATAGTGTTTTATCAATTATATACATATTATATTCGCTTCGTATATATCATCATATATTCCTGATTAAAAACGAGTTCATCATTGTTTTATTAAATTTAATTTAAATTCAACTTGAACTAAACCCAATCTATATGTCAAATATATACACGTAATATGATATGATAAGATATTTTTATTCGTATATATGATATTTATACTCACCATCTGCGAGAAACAAATATCTTTCTTTTATTTCGTGTTTTCTTCAATATAGTACAACTATTATAATATTTTATTTGTCACGTGACATGTGTCGAACTGAAACTGATTATTATCGCCTTGATAACCACGGTTATTGTAAAATAGAAAAAGAAATCAGAAAGAGATCAGAAAAGAAATTAGAAACTTTTTTTTACCGGTAATCCATATGTTACATTATTACAATAGATATAATATCGCCCTAAAATTTTAGACGACTGTTTGCGAAGAATTACCTATAGATGGCAGTATCATCGCTCATCTCGTGTATCTAATCGAACTTTCCGCTCTTCTCGTTTTTACTCATTGTTAAAAGGAGATAGTTAAACGGTGATGTTCGCTTGTGTTGAAAATTTTGTGGCGCCAATCCCGCTACCTTCTGATTTTATGCAGTTTTTTTAATTATTCTCGAAGATGCCGGCGTTTTTGAAACATATCGAAGTCGAGAACTTCAAGTCTTACAAAGGAAAGCTCATTATCGGCCCGTTGAAGTCATTTACGGCAGTTGTTGGCCCCAATGGATCTGGTAGGTTATCAGTCTGTGTATCAACAATGGGCGTTCAGCGAACGTAACAGTTACGGAATCGTTAAACAATAATTGTTTATGATTGCCGGATACCTGTAGATGTCTATTGATGAGACCTGTAGATCAGATCAGCATTTTTCCAAATCCAATAACAGTTGCATTCGCTAAAATCATGATGTGATGTTTTAGCCTGCGTGAAATTTGACAAGCTACATGTATGTACTGTTATGTATTCTTATTACATATTACAGGAAAGTCTAACTTTATGGATGCTATAAGTTTCGTCATGGGCGAGAAAACTAGTAGCTTGCGAGTCAAGAGATTCAGTGAACTCATCCATGGTGCATCTATTGGAATGCCAGTAGCGCGAAGGTATATAATTTCACATACATTTATATAATACTAATATGCTAATTTAAAGATACATAAATTTAGATTAATCTAAATATTTCTCTGAATTGTATGTAAAAATTTATAAATTTCTCGTTGAATGTAGTGCATCAGTGACAGCTGTATTTGAATTGGAAGATGGAACTGAAAAAAGTTTTATGCGTTCTGTGCAAGGATCTTCTTCTGAGCACAGGATAAATAACACTGTAAGTTTTTGCACTTGAATATCCTTATATACATATAATTAAAGATGTTCAAAATATTTTTTGTTACAGCTTGTCAGCAGCCAAGGATATCTTAGCGAATTGGAGCAGCTTGGTATTAATGTTAAAGCAAAAAATTTTCTAGTATTCCAAGGTGCAGTTGAATCTATAGCTATGAAAAATCCAAAGGAACGCACTGCTTTGTTTGAAGAGATCAGTAATTCTGGTGCATTGAAAGCAGAATATGAAAGGTAAATTTCTAAATATCATTATGGAAAATTATAATATAATCGATAATGTAATCGTAAATAATAAAAGAAAAATGTAGATTAAGAACAGAAATGTTGAAAGCTGAAGAAGAAACTCAATTTTCATATCAGAAAAAGAAAGGAATTGCTGCTGAAAGGAAAGAGGCAAAGTTGGAAAAAGAGGAAGCTGAAAAATATCAACGTCTTAAAGAAGAATATGTACGTTCTTTAATTTTAATATAATATTTAATATTCTAAAGAGAAGAAATAAAATTATTTATTCTCTTCATGTATTTATATAATTATCAACAATGAAATTAAATTATCTTTTATTTCTAGGTGGAAAAACAAGTAGAATTGCAGTTATTTCGATTATTTCATAATGAGAAAAGCACTGAAAATTTTGAAGTTTCTCAAAAGAAGAAACAACACGAGATTGAGAAAATTGAAAAAAAGAAAGAGAAAGCTGAAGAATTGCTGAAAGAGAAGAAAAAGGATGCTGGTAAATTGGGGAGAGATCTTGCTAAGATAGAACAGGATATTAGAGAAGTAGAAGTGGAAATTACGAAAAAGAGACCGACTTTTATCAAAGCCAAAGAACGTGTTGCACATATGCAAAAGAAAGTGGAATCTGCGCGTAAATCTTTGGCTCAAGCACGTATTGCAGACGAGGCTCATAAGAAAGATATACATGAACTGCAGGAGGAATTGCGACAGGTAGAAGAAGCTAAAGCTGCTTATGAAGCAAGCATAGCAGGACAATCACAATTACAAGGAAGGGATGTGCAGTTAGAAGATGAACAGGTATACATGAATTGTGCGATTCTTACATATTTTAAATTTTGAAACATATAATTTACATTATTTTTATATTATTTTTATTATTTATATTATTTTTATTATTTTTATATTATTTTTATTATTTACTTTTTTATTTATTTTTATTATTTACTTTTTATATTATATTTATATTACTATACTATTAATAAGATATTATTATTATTAATATTATTATATATTATTAATAATATTATTTAATAATAATCATTAATAATGTATTTTTTTCTAAACTTATGTGTACATACAACTATGTATATAATATATATAATTAAGAATTTGCATGATAATATAAATTTAATTAACTAATAAAATAATTTAAGGTGAACGAATATAATCGCTTAAAAGAAGAAGCTGGTAAACAATCTGCGAGATATCTTCAACTTCTTGATTCAATTAATCGCGAACAAAAGTCGGACCAAGATAGACTCGACAACGAAGGAAGAAAGAAGACCGAAATAGAAAATAAGCATAAACAAAAGGGTCACATGCGAGATGAGGCTCTTAAACGAGTAGAGAAATTGGAAGAGCACATAAGAACGTCGGAGGCTGCGTTAGAAGATCAGAAAAAACTTAGAGCCGATTTGCAATCTGACGTAGGCACATCGAAAGATAAGATCCAAAATTTACAGCGAGAGTTGGAGAGCATCTCGGAGCAACTTGGTGATGCTAAGGTCGATAAGCATGAAGTATCTAGAACTAAGAAAAAGACGGAAATTGTGGAGAATTTCAAGCGTTTATTTCCAGGAGTGGTACATATATCTCTCTCTTCTTAATATTTCAATATCTAGTAGAAATAAAAACATTTATCTCTTTTTTTTCAGTATGATCGCATGTATAATATGTGCGAACCAATACACAAGCGATACAATGTTGCAATTACAAAAGTACTTGGCAAGTATATGGAGGCTATTGTAGTAGATACCGAGAAAACGGCCAGACAATGTATCCAATATTTAAAAGAGCAATATCTTGAACCGGAAACGTTTCTTCCACTCGATTATATCCAAGCTAAGCCATTAAAAGAACGTCTTCGGTAAATAATTTAAATAAATCTTTACAAAAAAATAAAGCTTTAACAAAAATATTAATACTACAAAAGATACTTATTTTTATCTTCTAATTATTTTACATAAATCTTGTAGTGATAATTATACTATTATGCTCTTATATTATACTTTGCAGTAATATACAAGAACCAAAGAATGTGAAATTGCTGTATGATGTATTGCATTTTTCTCCAAAGGATATTGATAGAGCAGTTCTCTTTGCAACTAATAATGCTCTTGTATGTGAAACACCAGAAGATGCAAATAAAGTAGCATATGAGATGGACAAGAAAACTAGATATGATGTAAATATATCTATAATTTTAACTTGTGAATAAAATAATATTGTAAAAAATATTTAATGTATAACAAATGTGATAAAACATTTATAGTGCGTCGCATTAGATGGTACGTTTTATCAAAAAGCGGGTATCATATCTGGTGGCAGTTTGGATCTTGCAAAGAAAGCAAAAAGATGGGATGAAAAACAAATGTCTCAATTGAAGGCACAAAAGGTAATATATGCATATTTTTTTTTATGTTATAGAGATGCAAATATTTCTGACTTTAATTTACAGGAAAAATTAACAGAAGAACTCAGAGAATCTTTGAAGAAATCGCGCAAGGAATCTGAATTGAATACAGTTGAATCTCAAATACGTGGTTTAGAGACTCGTCTAAAATACAACAAAAGTGACTTATCTGCAACAGTAAGTGTTATACATTATATATTGTTTATGAAAAATATATTTATTTAAAAATATGTCAATGAAAAATAAAAAATATATTGTTGAAATTAAAAAATGCATTAATAAAATTTTTATTGTAGCAAAAACAAATTACGGATCTTGAGGTGGAGTTAGATGGTTTGCAAAACGAATTAAATATGTTTGGTGTAAGTTATGACATACTTTTATATATATGTATATGTTTAATTGCATATTAAAGTACTTCAGTATTTTATAGATTTCTTATCTCTTATGTCTTATAGCCTGCAATAGCTGCTATTGAAAAGACCATGGCTGAAAGAGACCAAGAAATACAAAACATTAAAGAAAAAATGAATAATGTTGAAGATGATGTGTTTGCTAGTTTTTGTGAACAGATAGGGGTTTCTAATATTCGTCAATATGAAGAAAGAGAATTGAGGTAACAAAAAAAATATATATCAAATATGAAAAATTATGTTATTTTATATTTGTATGCTAAGAGATTGAATATACTCCAGATCACAACAAGAAAGAGCAAAGAAGCGATTAGAGTTCGACAATCAATGCAATCGCATCTATAATCAATTAGATTTTGAAAAACAACGCGACACTGAAAGTATGTATTATACAAATATTTTATGTAAATTATTTATTATATGTTTATTCTTTCTCACACATTATCTAAAAAGTCTTTTTATTTTATGTAATCTTTATATGTTAACACATACTAGGTTATTAATTTTTACATTATTTTTATAATGCAGGCAATGTTTTACGATGGGAACGGGCGGTCCAAGATGCAGAAGATAAGCTTGAATCTGCAAAACAAACAGAACTTAATCAAAAAGCGGAGATCGATCACGACGAGCAGCAAATGGAACAGCTGAAATCATCTCGTAATGCTAAGAAAATGGAAGTTGATCATAAAGAAGATGAAATCGGTAAAGCTAGACGTGAAGTAGGAGCAATCGCTAAGGATATTCAAGCAGCTCAGAAACAGCTTAACGCGATTGAAACGAAAATTGAACAAAAAAAAGCCGAACGACATGCTATCCTGATGCAATGCAAGGTTTGTGTGCTTAGATGATGATTATTTTACTATATATTATATAGATTGTATATTATTTTGGATTATTAAATATATATAATTTTTAACGATATATTTAATAATTCAGATGGAAGATATTGCGATACCTATGTTGCATGGAAATATGGAAGATATAGCAGGTGAAACTAGCACGACGAACGGCAACGAAACAAATTCTGATGTGTCATTTAGCACACAGCAACAATACGAACGTGAAAGGAGGATTACTATAGATTATGCACTTTTACCAGAAAATTTGAAAGATATTGAGGAAGAGGATATTAAAAAGACAACTGATAAGTTAACAAAAATAATCAATGATTTGCAAAATACAATACAGCGCATACAAGCTCCAAATATGAAGGTTTGTAAAATATCATATATTAAATGTGACATCAATAAATATAAAAAATTTAGAAATAAGAGAATTAAAAAGGAAAGTTTAGAATTTAAAAATATAAAAATATTTTTCGTTTTTTACAGGCAATTCAAAAATTATATTTGGCAAAAGAGAAGTTACAAGAAACCAATGAAGAGTTTGAACAATCTCGCAAGAAGGCAAAGAAAGCAAAGACACAATTCGAAAAAATAAAAAAAGAACGACACGATAGATTCATGGCATGTTTCGAACATGTAGCGAACGAGATTGATCCTATTTATAAGGTTTGTGAATTAATGGATTTTTATAAAAGTATTTATATGTTTCTTTCTGCACTTATGTATATATTATGTATGTATATTATGTATGTATTATATAGTTATATAATAATGATTGTTTCAGAGTCTAGCAAAAAATCAATCCGCACAGGCATTTCTTGGACCAGAAAATCCTGAGGAACCTTATTTAGATGGTATTAATTATAATTGCGTGGCTCCAGGCAAACGTTTTCAACCTATGTCCAATCTATCTGGTGGAGAAAAAACAGTCGCAGCATTAGCTCTGCTATTTGCAATTCACAGGTAATATATATTTTCAAAAATAAATTAAATTTATATTATAATGTGCAATTTGAATAAATAATTAAATAAATATTTATTCTTGTCCCCATATTTAGTTTTCAACCTGCGCCATTTTTTGTTTTGGACGAAATCGATGCAGCTCTCGATAATACTAATATAGGAAAAGTGGCGAGTTATATTCGTGACAAAACAACTTCACTGCAGACAATCGTTATATCATTAAAAGAAGAATTTTATTCACACGCAGATGCGCTTATTGGAATTTGCCCAGACGTAAGTAAATTATTCAATTATGTGAATTGTATTACATATATTTTATTTTCATTTATAGTTGATTATAACATTTTTCTTGTATTTCAGGTAGGCGAATGTTTGGAAAGCAAAGTGTTAACACTCGATTTAACTACATATCCCACGCATATTAATTAACTCATAAACAGTTATTAGTGTAAGAAAGATTATTGTTGTCTTTTTTTATATCTTTACAATGGATGATCTTTAATTATTTTGGAAAAGAGAAATATTAGTGCGTGACATGCTATTATTATTATTTAATTTCTAGATACATTTTATTTACATTCTTGATATTGTTTTGAGATTACTGCAAAACCTTAATATCACACTTTTAATAAATTATATATGTTTTTCTGAACATAAATCAGGATAAGAGTGAGCATTGCAATGTGAAAATTATAAGTTATGTTGTGATTAATGTAAATAACTTTTAAAACTTGACTTTAATAAAAATCTTGTGAATGAAGTTATAAATTTGTATATAAGATTTGTTTCAACTAGATGCACATTTTTAAATGCATAATTAATCATAACATATGTTTTATAATAAATAATAAGAGAGTAATCTCAAGTAATGTTTTAATATTGTTAATATTTTAATTAATAATTTGTCTGATACAATATTATGTTGTAACTCGTTTATTTATGACATGATATGCTTGTGTATATGTGTATATATATGAAATTTTATTATTATATAGAATTGTTATATAGAATCCAAACTAAGTAAACGAGTACAAGTAAATTGTATACATACAGATATCAATGTAAAACAAGTAACTTATTAATTTTTTTAATGTTCTTTTTTTTAAATTTTAAAATTAGGTTTTTTAAAATTTGGGCTGTTTTTTTAAAAGAATCATTCTTTTATATTTAAATAATGGGCTGTTTTTTTAAAAGAATCATTCTTTTATATTTAAATAATAGCGCGACAATTACGATATAAAGCACTTCATTTGTCGATTGTTTGATAACCAATGACTGCGTTCAACAGAAGAAGCTACTTTGCAATTATAAAATTCGTGAATCTGATTGGCGTATGTTGGCTAGATTAAGCCAAAATTAAAAGTACGCCAATCATATTCACGATTTTATAACAGTCGCATAGCTTTATCTGCTAGACGCAGCCAATCAAGATAGTAAATTCAAAGACGTCATTGTTGTTCAATCAAATAATTCAAATTTAGAAAATAACGGTAAAAAGCAACCGTCGTCAACTGTCCACTTTCATCGACTGTGTTTTTCGTGATCGAAAATGTCGATTTCTTTGAAAGCTATTACGCTTTTCAATTTCAAGTCATTTAGAGGCAAAGTAGTAATTGATCATTTCCATCCTTTTACAGCTATTATTGGTCCGAATGGATCCGGTAAGATTTTTAAAGATATTCTACAACCTTCCAACTTATTTAATTGAAAAGAATAATATTTCTCTCTTCAATTCTTTTCCTTTATTTTTTTATTTCTGTAAAATAAATAAAATTAATACAATCTAAATCTAACTAAAATTTTTAAAATGAATTTAAATTCTAATTTTTCCATATATAGAATATATGGATATATGTGGAATATCTTTTTGCTTCTTTAACTTTTATTATTTTTATGTTTCAATCTAAATATATAAATAAGTATTTTATATATTTTACATTGTGTATTTTAGGAAAATCAAATATTATGGATGCTATAAGTTTTGTATTAGGCGAAACATTAAGTATTTTGCGTGTTAAACATCTCAATGAACTTGTACATGGAGCTTTCATTGGAGAGCCAGCAGCAGAAGGGTATTAAAAATATATTTTCTTTATACTTTAATTTATTTTTTATCATGCTTAACATTTAATATTTATACTACAGTGCTTATGTAACCATAATTTTAATGAAAGATCAAATAGAAAAAAGTTATACAAGAACAATACAAGGAAAAGACAATCAGTACAAAATAGATAACAAGGTAGAATTCTATGTTTTTCACAATTTTTAAAAATTATTTTTCTTGTTGAATGTACTTATTAATTTTTTTCATGATTGATCTTATTACATAGATTGTTACTAGAGACATTTATATGTCTGAATTGAAAGTATTCGGTTTAGATATAAAAGCAGGAAACTTTTTAATGCCGCAAGGCTGTATTCAATATTTTGCAACAACAAATATGTCAAAAGAACTGACTATTATGTTTGAAGAAATTAGTGGGTCTAATGTATACAAAGCAGAATATAATCGGTATATACTTTTAATAAATTATGCAATTTTTTTGTATTGTAAGTTTGAAAATTTATTAAACTTTAAAAAACTTTGAATGTTTTTATAGATTACGATTAGAATTGTTGAAAGAAAATCAGGATGTACAGTTTGCATATCAGATAAAAAAGACACAATTACGACAGAAGAAATCTGCTATGATAGAAAAAACAGAAGCAGAAAAATATTTGCAGCTGCAAAAACAATATGTATATCTCACATTTATTTCTTATCTCTATAATGATCTTTTCAAAAATTATTATTTATATCTTTTCTCATTTGATTATAAAATAATTTTTAAATGTTATAGATGAAAGAAAAATTTAAATTTCAATTAATTCAGTTGATTTTCATAAAAAAAGTAGTCAAATCTTTAGAAACCGAGCAAAAGGAAATTAAACTGCATATGGCAGAGAATTTGCAGAATAAACAAATTAAGATAAATTTGTTAAACCGTACTAAATTAGAAGTTAAGTCATTATTTGAATTATTGAATAAAACTGAAGAAAGCATCTTAAAACTTGAAAATGATATTCAAAGAGAAAAAATAAAACATGTTGATATTGAGAGTAACACTTTGTATTGGCAAAAAAAACTTGAGAATGCTCGTGCATCTTTGGATAGTGTGAATAATGCGCATAACATTCATAAAAATACTGTTGAAGAATTAAAAAATGAATTAGAAATAATAACCAAGAAATTAACGGAGTTATCATCGGAAGATGACATTGTAGAACTTCACAACTCTCAGGTATTATATTATTACAATAAAATATATATAAAATACTTCACAAATACACATAAAATTTAAATCTTATATTTTTTAATACTGGTTTATAATAAACCGCTGACTGATATAAAAACAATTTATTTAAGGTTAATGATTATATGATTTTAAAGACTGAAGCTGAGAGTCAAGCAAAAGACTTTATAAATAATATAAATAATTTAATGCATGATCAACAAGTTGATCAATATGATCTCGATAATCAAAATAGATCTAAAATGGAATTAGAAAGTAAAATAAAGATTGAAACATTAGGAAAGGAACAACTCGAAACGCAAGTTCAAAAACTACAAACATTAAATGATCTCTTTAAATTAAGATTAGTGGAAAAAAAAGAGGAAAAGCAAAAAATAGAGAAAGAAATTAGGGAAACAGAAGAGAAATCGTTAAAGTTAATAAGCGATATTGCAAAAATTTCGTATGAAAGTGCCGAAGTTTTACAACAAGAGAAAAAAGCTAATATAATAAAAAATTTAAAAGAATGTTTTCCTGGCGTGGTATCATTCAATTAGAATTTAGATAGTATTATTATAATAATAATCACTTAGAAACAGTCAATATATTTTATTTTTTAGCACGATCGCTTATTTAATCTTTGCAAGCCTACGGATTCACGTTATAATGTTGCGATAACTAAAGTTTTTGGTAAAAATATGAATGCAATTGTAGTTGATACTAAATATACAGCAAAACAATGCATTTATTTTTTAAAGAGGCATAAAATAGGTGTTGAAACATTTTTACCGCTTGATTCAATAAAAACGGAACCTATAAACGATAGATTACGGTAATTATTTATAAATATAAAAATAATTATAAAATATATTTTGTTAATGATAATATAATGTAATATTATTTTATAGTACTAAATTAGAACAAACAAATTGTAAATTATTATATGACGTACTAGAGCCATCTCTGCAAATACAGAAGGCAGTTTTATATGCTGCTAGAAATACTATAGTTTGTGAGACTGCAGAAGATGCAAGGAAAAAAGCATTCCAAAGTGATGGCAATTATGATGTAATAATAATTATGCCTGAAATATTCTATATTTATTGTATATTGATATTTATCTATACAATATTGTTTAGTGTGTATCATTAGATGGATGTTATTTTCAAAGAAATGGTTTTATATCTGGAGGATTAACTGATCTTATTGCAAAAGCAAAACAATGGGAAAATTCATTTGTATTAAACAAACGAAAGGTTACAGATTTTTTTACAGAATTTGTATAAAAATAATTTGTATGTTATATATATGTGATTTTAGGGACAATTAAAGCAAGAATTAAAAAATCTACCTCAAATTTCTTGTCTGCAATCTAATTTTGATACAATTAATAAGAATATAAATCGACTTACTGCTAAAAATAAAGTCATAGAAAAAGACTTAAAAGACATTGTAAGTAGTTTTGTGTACATACTTGTAATGAATGAATGTATATGTAAGATACAGAAAATAATTTATATTTTATAGTTTTTTTAATCTCGACATCTTATTTGAATAATGTACAAAGTTTATATTTTTATAGATCGAAGAAATTAAGATACATAAAGTAAATTTAAACGATCTTCAAAAGGAACTAAGTTCACAAGATGTATGTACTTTGCATATATAATGTATTTAAATTTTTTTATTATGAGCTATAACAGAAAAATATTTTTACTATTTACATACAATTTTTAGACAGCAATATTGCTAATTCAACATAAAATGCAGGAAAGAGATAAAAAAATTAAAACCCTAAAGAATAATATTAATGAAATTAAAAACAAAATTTTCATTGATTTTTGTAAAAGAGTAAATGTGCCGGATATTATCTGTTATGAGAAGAATTTATGGTATGTTTAATCTTGAAATTTTATATGTGTATGTATATATATAAAAATTACATTAACTTTTTAGCTCATATAAAGAGCGATTAACAAAAAAAATGGAAATCGTAAATCAAAGAAATTATATTAACAATCAATTACATTTCGAAAGTGAATTCAATAGAAATGCTGAATTTGAAGGTAAATTTCCACAAATCATATTTGTTAATGTATCATATTTAATTATTTCTATTTTTCTATTTTTTATATAAGTATAAATTTTGCATGAATAGATAAAATTTTAAGATGGAAGCGCGCTATAGAGGAAGCTAATGTAGAATATAAAAAAGCCTATAATAAAGAACAAGATATAAAAACTAATGTAGAACAGATTGAAATAAGACTATTGAAAATAAAGGATGATTATAAAACTAAAATAGAAATATTGGAAAATATAAAAACAGAATTGGATGATCATAGATCACAAATTGGCATTGTTTCAAAGTTATATTTAGAAAATCAGAAGGCATACATGCTTATACGGACGAAAATAAAACAACAGAAACAAAAATGTGAAGATATACTTAGAGAATGCAAGGTTAACGAATTACTAAGAGATATATTTACTTTAAAATATTTGTAAATATTAAATGTTGAACATTAATTTAACCAATGCTTTTCACAAATTTTTTCACAGCTGGAAGGAATTATTATTCCAACGTTATCAGAGATATCGTACGATGTAAGCAGTTCAAACTCGAATATAAGCACAGAATCGAATGTTTGGGAAGTAATGATGAACATTGATTTCTCACAAATTTCCAATCATATTTATAGTAATACAACAGACTTGCAAAATATTATTGAACAATCTAAGATAAAGCTTACAGAGATTCAAAATGAATATAAGGCTTTGCGAAAACCAGATCTTAAGGTATAAAGCTTTACTTAATGTATAGTATATTTGATATAATTTTATGAATCAATTACTCTCATATATGAATTTGATAATGTATAGGCTGATACAAAAGTCGACTTGATAATACAACAGATAAAAGAAACAAATGAAAAACATCAAGAGCTGCGTACAAAATTTAATAATACAAATAAACAATTTGAGATTGTTAAAGCAAAAAGACATAAATTATTTTCAAATTGTCTGGAACACATTACTGAAGACATAGATTCTATATACAAAGTCAGTATTTATAATTATGCTTATCATGATTCCATTTGTAAAAGTGTTTTTACACACATGCATATATGTATATATTACAAATATATTATTTATTTTCTATGCAGAATTTGACTAATGATAAGTCGGCTCAAGCATTAATCATATTAGAAAATCCTGAAGAGCCGTATATGAGCGGTATAAATTACAGTTGCATACCGCCATCTAAACGTTGTCAACCACTACAGTATTTATCTGATGGGGAAAAAACAATCGCTAATTTGGCGTTTCGATTTGCAATGCTGCGGTATATCTTAATATTATATTAATGTTTTATGTTCATATATTATATGCTTTTTTATGATATGAATAACAAAAAAATTAAAAGCTATTTTGAAAAAAGTAATTGCAAATTTTTATTTACAGTTATAAACCAACATTTTTTATTATGGATGAAGCTGATGCAGCATTAGATAAGTCAAATATTAAAAAGCTTGTTAACTACATGCGATCTCAAATGAAGAATATGCAAGCTATCGCAATAACTTTAAACACAAATTTATCATTTCATGCCAACATACTTATAGGAGTTACCACTCAAGTAAGTTGATAATTATGTTATTTTTAATTTTTTACGATTGTCTATTGTTAATTTTAGCCTAAGACGGCGTGCACTGAGAGTATGATATTCACTGTGTCATTATGAAGACAATATTGAAAATACAACAAAATAGGAAAAAAAATGATAATTTTATTATCTGCTATAATATAATTTAAAGGAGATTTTTCTTACATAATTTTATAATTAATTTTTGCAGATCATACTTTCTTTTAAATTATCATATGTATTCTATAAATATGTGTGTGCACACACATAATCATTTCATTATTTTTTAATATTCGTTGCTAACAGATTTGATATCATAAATCAATGTAATACGTTTTTTTTAATTATATGTATTATTTCTTTTTTCATTATTTTAATAATCACTAATTTAGATATTAAAAAGAGAGTGAAGTTTTATTAATTAATAAATTTCAATTTCTCAACAATTTTATTAAATACAGAGACTTTATAACAATGCTATTCTCTTTTAAACAAATCTCTGTATTGAAGTTATAATGTACAAGAATCATGAATCATATCATCAAATCGGGTTTAATTTATGTTATTTACAGAGTCCGGATCTTGGTGCTGTTTTCCCACTTCAAGTGCATGCTAGCGGCCGAGCGCCACGAAAAGCAGTATAGTCTATGCCAGTTTAATGAGGATAGGAAAGAGGGCACCATCGCGTAAAAAAAAATGTGTATATATATATATATATATATATATATAATATAAAATAATATAATAAATTATTATATTTTCTTTTTCTATGCGACGGTGTCCTCTTTGTTATCATCACTAGATCGGCATAGACGGTACTGCTTTTCGCGGCGCTCGACCGCTAGCATGCACTTGGAGTGAGGAAAACGGCACCAAGACTCTGGACTCTGGTTATTTATCTTTAATCTACAGAAAATATGTGCATGCATTCATGTACATATATAGGATGCCTTCCGTTTCGGATGAAACGCATAAGTTGCAGAGAAAACGTTACACTTAATGCGCATTGATAGTGCATAGAATTTTTTAGAATCCTCCCATTTCCAGTGCATTAATAATGCATCAACTACTACAGGTTGGATCCAAAGAAGTTAATGCGAGTATACGCAAAGAGTCAACAACCTCGTGTATATACACGTGTGAAACGTGGTAGAAACATGTGTGCGTCATTTATTTCGATAGCGATATTGTTTCACATTAAACGCATCAAAATTCATTCCGTTTCCAAGACTATATTTATGCATTAATAGAAACGATATTAATACGTACATCACACTGATTGCGAGCTATGCGCTCAATACGTGAAACGGAAGGCAGCCATAATCAGAAATGCCAGATTCCGACGTTTCGGTAGCATGGAGGGGATAATAGAAAGAGACAAAACATGATTCTCTTTCGCTCTTCTCTGTGAGAAAAGAGCGGGGAAGAATCATGTTTTGTCTCTTTCTATTATCCCCTTCATGCTACCGAAAGGCTGGAATCTGGCATCTCTGCCTATAATCATTTCACTTATTTTTTGATATTCCTTGAAATGCTAATGTGTAGATTTGATATCACAAATCAATGCTTTTTTTATTATATGTATTATTTCTTTTATAATTATTTTAATCTAATTTAATAACCACTAATTAGATATTAAAAAGAGAGAAGCGTTTGATTAATAAATTTCAATTTCTGTCAATAATTTTATTAGATACAGAGATTTTACAACAATGCTATTTCTATTTTAAACAAGATTCTATTGAAGTTATGTACAAGAAGTAATGTACAAGAATCATGAATCATTTAAGTAAGCCAGATTTAATTTATTTATGTTATCTACCTTTGATCTACAGAAAACGCGTGTGTGTGTGCACACATAATCATTTATTATTTTTTGATATTCGTTGAAATGCTGTATAGATTTGATATCACAAATGTAGTACTTTTTTTTATTATATGTATTATTTCTTCTATAATTATTTTAATCTAATTTAATAACCACTAATTAGATATTAAAAAGAGAGAAACGTTTTATTAATTAATAAATTCAAATTTCTCTCAATAACTTTCTTAAATACAGAGATTTTATAACAATGCTTTCTTTTAAACAAATCTCTTTGTTGAAATTATAATGTACAAGAATCATTTAAGCAAGTCAGGTTTAATTTATGTGTTATTTATCTTTGATCTACAGAATCTGTATACGAAGTTAATTCATAAAGTTTTTTTTATTTTATTAAATTTGTATTTCATAAAAATTAAATAATATAACACACATTGTTATATTGTAATATGAAATAAAGTTGTTAAGTGTTGTGTGAAAGATACTTTTATTTATTCTATACTATTGTAGATAATATTATTTGTATACATAATATTATTTGCATTTATCTCTTTCTAAAATATTTTTTTATAACATGAAAGATCACAAAATTATTACAAAATTATTACAAAATTTAAAATTATTATTATTATGGCACTATGCTTGCATTAATATAATATAACATAAGTGTACTTCAGCTCTAGTACCCATTACATATATGACGAACACACTTATAACGATCAAAGATAAAAATGATAACGTAAATGCACTGATTAAAATATTATATTGACTGAAAGGCTAATACATTTATTCAATAAAATCGATATAAATTTACTAATTATTTTTTTAATAATTATGTTAATAAATATAATTAATAATGATTGATTTAAATACGCATTTATATATTTTGAATGTTAAAAACATTCGATATATTTTTGAAATTGAAGAAATATATTTATCATAAAACGTAAAAAAAAATTAATAATACAACGATAAACGATTATTCATGCGGTAAACCGTTTTATATAATTATTATATTTGATATTATCAGTACAATACATAAAACATACGGTAATTTTATTCAGATTTGTATTTAAAGGCTTCAACGTATTTTGATATTGAAATTGTATAGATTAAAAAAGTCATACATATAAATGTTATTATTTCATAATCGTCTTTATTTAGATTATTTAGTCTTTATTTAGATTAAATTGTCTAATATAGAAGAAAAGAAAAATTCAGATCTTTTACTGTAAAAAAAAATATAGAATTGAGTTATACAGCTTCGTTATGTGTGTAAAATTTCCAATTGGATGTCAATGCGAATTCTACATCGAAAGTGTGCCGATTGCATTGTCCTGGTTGCTTATATTAAACATAGTAGCAATTCTGATTTACAGCTGCTAGCAAAGAGGCGGTGCGGGTCAATGCAGTTTATTACGGTTAACGCCTTGTAAAGTAAGACACGCTCAGAGAATGCGGCCAAAATGATGATTGTCGTCTAATAAACTTATTAAGGAAACGGTCGCATCTTGGTATCGAGTACTTCTGACGCTCAGTGATAAACACGAAACGAAACATTTATTGCGAAGTAGGTCGTTACAACTAGAATCTTAATGGATGCGTATTTGATGCAAGGATGCGTATGAGACAGTCGAAGCAAAATAGCCTAAAATCACTTTGTATTAAAAGTTCTACAAGATTATAAGTTTTAATACATATATATCTCTGATTTAATATATGAGAAAAAATCTCAATAAGGAATTAAATATATTTTAATATATTTTGCTCATAGATAAAAAAAACCTTTTATTTCCGGAGATAATTTTCAAGTTAATTTTTACAAATTTAAAATTTTTTTCACAGCTTTTATAATATTTAGTAATTATACTATTCAATTGTAAAATGATTGCAGCAATTAATCGGCAATTAGTCATCCATTTAGAATCATTAATTATTCATTGACGACAAATTAAGAATAACACATTAGAAATTTAACACTTATAAGAGAATATTTACTGCAAAAATAAATAGCGAATAAATTGTTTGTATAATTTTCTGTGTTAGATATAAATTATGTTGCGTGAGAGATTAAGCATCAAGATGTTTCGATCTGACACTACGCAGAAAATTTAAATTTAATTAAAAACGTGACTCTAAAGATGATGACACCGTGATGCATATCGCGTGCAACCCTTAAGGTAATGATCTTTATTGTAGCGCCTTTAACAATACGCGGAATAATAAGTCTATATTGACAATATTAATATAAAGTTTTTCATAGAATTCCATAAATTGCTTGCTATGACATTATTTAATGATAATTTCCAAGATAAATGTTGGAAAACATTTTTTAATCTTAAAATAATTTTAAATTAATCTTGAGTTTTAATTAATAATAGTTTATTATATACTCGCGTTTTATCTTTATATTAAAAACATCGAAAAACGTTTGAAGTTACATATAGATATTGATTTGTATTTCTCACTAAATTTTTTACAATATCTCTTTTGTTGAGATTAAATTAATAAAATTAATAAAGAATGAATAAATTTAAAAAATAAAATTTATTCCTGTAAAATTAAATATTTTTTAAGAGGAAGGAATGTTTTAAAAGGATTATCAAATTATTTAACAATATAATAAAAACAAAAGATATATATTCCTTTGTATAATAAGGGTTTTATTTCTTAAAATCTTTCTCTCTCTCTCCTTTATCATATTTTCTATCAGACGATTAAATTTCCCTTGCTTTTCTTCTCTTTTTTTATATAAAATAAGAAGTATCATTCATTAATATGCATGAAGAAGGAAGGAAACATAAGTATATAGACTCAGGAAAAGGGAATGAGGGGGTTGCGGAATAAAGCAACGGCGTCTAGTAGAATAGAGAATGATGACCTCCCTTACATCATGCAGAGCATCTGCTAAATAAATGATACGTCGGTTACCACGAGTCTAGTTGTCCTCAGCCTCTCGATAGAAGCGAATCGGGAGATTAGGATCTGCATTTTCTTCGTTCTCCAGTAGAGTTAACTATTCCATCCCTGCTGGATAGAAAGACGCACCTCGATGAGGCAGCAGATCCTAAAGCTGGTCACGGGGTTCCTCGTGGTCCAGCTGCTGCTGCTATCAAATCAAGTAAACGCTGTGAAAAATCGACCAAGAAAGCAACGGTCCAGGTCAGAAAAACCGCAAGCGCAACAACCTGATAGCGATTACAATTACGATTATTACGAAAACTATGACTATGAAGAAAAAAACGGTGAGTATGGAAAATTAGATCTCACGACAATTAAAAGGGAAAGAAAGGGAGTTGACATTTTTCGTCTTATTTTATTTAACTAATTTCTGTACTATTATTGCACACATGTATGTATGGTTAATATACCTAAGTATTTTTTTATGATCATGATTACTATAAAGAATATAATAATTGATAGTATAATGAGAGATATTAAATTGTATAATATTCATATAATATATAATGTTAGAGGAATATTTTAATTTATTTTATAATTGAAATTAGCAAAAAAAACTAAAGAAATGTTTTAACTTTCTTTTCCAAATAGTTTATATTACTTGAATAATATTATTCAACATGTAATATTAATTTACATTGTAATTAGTTCACATTATATTATAAGATAAAAATATAATTGATGTAATAAAATAATTTTCTGACATTATTTATCAATTTCTCTATGTATTTTTTATGTTATATAGCCTCTTATTAAGAGATTGAAAATCATAAGACTATGAAATCTAATCCTTGTAGATCTTATAAGAGTGATGTAGATTTCTTTTCTCGTTATCTAATATGATAAATATGTAAAGTCATTATTTCACTTAATTATTGCATAGTAGTAATATAATTTTCCTTATAAATTGTATGTAATAAAAATTAAATATAATTTTATTTATCAATTATATAGGAAGCATTTTTAGCGATGTAAACAGGGAAGACAGAATAGTTTTGAAACGCGACGGAAGTCTTGTGCCAAAGATCAATTTCATTAAGCCGTATAAAACAATTAATCACTCGTGTTTTAATCAGAGCGATGCAATTAATATCATTTATTTCAATTTAACTTACAGCTAAGTATCTGGCTTAGCTTCCTTGCGGATAATAAAGACGCTAAATATGTTCCGCTAATAAGTTCCGTACTTGCAAATAATTTTCGCACGATGATTGCTACAATAATAAGTCATCATTAATATTAGCAATTTTATATTTTTTTCTATAAAGTAATAATAAAAATAATAATAACAATATTATTTAATTATTCAGAGACCACAACAACATTGTCACCTCTTGTAGTACCATCATCTAGCATACGAATTTCGGGTAAGCGTGCGATTCGTCTTATATATATTATTTTAATATAAGAAAAATTATTATGAAAATTTAAAAAAATTTTGATGGCATATGTAAATATTGAATGTAGGATGGTCCGAATCACCGATAGAAAGTACAGCATCCTCATACAGACCAGAAAAACCTACAGATTTGCCAGCTCCAACGACAACTTTATTTTATGATCGTGGTGACAAATTATTTATTCTTATTATTATTGCGTTAGGAAAACAAAAATACATATATAATGTAATAAATAAAAACTTAACGTTATTTTTAATATTAAAGGATGAAAATTTATTAATTAAATCTCTATTTCTTTTCAGTACTTATTTCTTTTAATCTTTAAATTACAAATCTTTTAAATACATATTGTAATATTTTTATATATTTGTATATTTTTGCGTGTATTGTAAAATTATATCGTGAATTAGTTATGTTACACTTTATTTTATGGAGATAGAACTTTAATTAAAAAATAACGTTTGGGATAAAAATAAAGAAAATATTAAAGTAAAGAAGTAAATAGATAAAATAATTAAAATCAAATATTTTTAATCCCATATTTTCTGAGATCTGTTTGATATTTTAGATTTAGAACAGACTAATGTCACATCTGAGCAGAATCATTTAGTAAGTATAGTAAAATAATTAATAATTGAAAATTCAAATTGAGTTTTGCAAGAATAGTAAGAAATAGTTTTTTTTTTCATTTATAGGTTTCGTCCACGGAAATTTTACCGGGTGAAAGTAATTTATACAATTCTGTGGCTGGTCCACGAGTAAGTGATTGTAAAATTGATTAACAAACGATTCTTCAGAAAGTATTCACAAAGATTAACACAGAGAAACATTTACAAAAAAATAAGGGTGAACCTGGTCGACCTGGAGATGCTGGTCGTCCGGGTGATGTAGGATATCCTGGACAACCTGGAAGTCCTGGAATTCCAGGACCACCTGGTCCTCCAGGAAATGTACCTGATGTAAGAAATTATTTTTATAATTTAAAATCGTTTTTTAATTTAAATTCCTTTTTTTAATATCGTAAGAGAATTAACGTGAGTTATTAATTATTTATTCGATATATTTTATAATTTATATATTTTATATATATATTTTATATATTTTATATATATTTTATAATTTATATATTTTATATATATTTTATTATAATTTATATTTCGTATATTATTTTTCGTATATTAATATAATAGGTATCTCTATATTATCAACAATTGGCTTTGTCTCAAGCGAATCAAGATAAAGGCCCAACAGGTGCAGCTGCTCCATTGTATGGACCAGAAGCATATCCTTATATTCAAGCACAAGTAGGTCCAATAGGCCCGCGAGGTCATCCAGGTAAGTTTTAATTATTTCAATTGTTTTATTTAAATAAATTGTTTAATAAATGATTATTGAATCACATAAATTACATAAATTTTGATGCTTTATCTAAACATATGTTTTTACTTATATTTTTTATTTATATGTTTTTTCTGTTATATTTTATTAACATAATGTGTTTTCTCTGATATATATTTTATTATATGTTTTCTCTGTTATATATTTATAGGTCCACCTGGTGCTCCAGGTCCTCAAGGTTTCCAAGGTACACGCGGTGAAGCTGGTGAGCCGGGATCTCCAGGTTCTCCTGGTGCGCCAGGTTCTCGAGGTTTACCAGGATTACCCGGAAAAGATGTAAGAAATTATAATAAAAATTTATTTTTTACAAAAATTTTTAATTTTTTATAAAAAATACTAAAAATGTAAAATATTTAACAATAGGGTATCAATGGAGAAGATGGTGAAATCGGTTCACCAGGATCACCTGGTCCCGCTGGACTGCGTGGTCTTCCCGGAATGCCAGGGCTTCCAGGAATAAAAGGTCATCGTGGTTTTCCGGGTTTAGACGGAGCAAAAGGTGAGCAAGGAGTTTCTGGTGAAAAAGGATCTACAGGCGCACCAGGACCAATGGGCCCGATAGGTCCAATGGTATGTAAATAATGTTCTCGGAATGTACAAGAGAAAGAACAAATTTAAAACAAAAAGGAATTTTTCATAATCTTGAAATAAGTTTTCCATGTTTAAAACTTATTTAATATACGTGTACTAAATATTTAATATACATTTATATTTAGTATAGTTATACATAATATTGAAGAGAGAAAATATAGGAGAGAGGATAGAAAGAGAGAACATATTATTTTGCATAAATGTTATTGTTGATTATTACTATTAATATAGGGCCCAGCAGGACCACGTGGTGAGAGAGGTAGAGAAGGTTCATCTGGCCCTCCTGGTTTGAGAGGTCCTGATGGAATTATTGGACCACCCGGGCAACCCGTAAGCTAGTTATTGAATTCATACACGAATTTATATCTTGAAGAGACTTATCATAAGATACACTTAAAACAAAAGTTTATAATATTTTTTGCTTTATTTTATTATTATAAATAAAATATACAATTTGTATAATACTTTATTAAATAATATTTTATTAAAATACAATATTAATATCGTTTACATGTAGGGTGCTGTGGGTAAACCTGGCCCACCAGGATTTCCAGGTATTCCTGGATCTAAAGGTGATCAAGGATCACAAGGACCGAAAGGAAGTCAAGGTTTACAAGGCCCGCGAGGTAAGATATTTTTATTATCATCCAAATAAAGACAGATGCATCCTTTTCCATAAATATATTTATATTCTGAATATATCCATTATTCTAAAAGAAAGCGATATTTATTTTGCTGATCTGTTAATATTTCCAACAAAGGCGAAAGTGGCCGCCCAGGACAGCCTGGCGAAACAGGTCCGCAGGGTGCTCAAGGCAAAGATGGGAGTCCTGGCGAGAAAGGAGCTACGGGAGCGATAGGACCTGTTGGTTTACCTGGATTTCCGGGTCCTCGAGGTCAACTCGGAGAATCAGGCAACCCTGGTATTCCTGGAGCCAAAGGAGCATCTGTAGGTATCATTAGTATGCTGTTTATAAATTATATCAGTTATGTCTTAAACAATATATAAAATCTTGATTATATTTCTACAGGGTCTTCCTGGGGAAAGAGGTTTTAAAGGTGACTCCGGCGTGAAAGGTGATACAGGAATGCCTGGTCCACGTGGACTTCCGGGAGCTCCTGGGAATGAAGGCAAGAGAGGCAAAAGAGGAATGCGTGGACCGATTGGCGCCACAGGACCTCCTGGAGAACGCGGTGCGCCTGGAATGCGTGGACTTCCTGGTCCAGATGGTCCTGTCGGACCTCAAGGTATCTCTTATGTTGATTAGAAATTAGAAAATATCATTAAATACATGAAAACATCTGCATATAAACATTATCGTTATAAAGATTTTTAATTAATTAATATAAACTGAAAATATAATTATATTTTGTTACATATTATACTTAGAAAAGAATATTATAATTAGAAAAATATTAATTTCTTGAAAATAATACGAGAAAAATAGAAATCCGATTAAATTTACAAAATCATAAGTAAAATTTCAATTTATGTATATCATATATAGTTCTAATTTTACGTGAATAAGGAATTAAATATAAATTTATAATTTTAGTTTCAATGATAAAACTTTTTTGTTTTATTACAGTCTTTCCAAAAATTCTGTATTGATTTATTCTCACATTTTTTTCTTTTTTTACACATACATAACAAATGCAATACAATAAATATAATATTTTTAAGTAATCATGATTATAAATAATTTTCAGGGCAAATTGGTGATCGTGGTCCAGTAGGAGCTATTGGGCCGAAAGGAGCCGTTGGAGATCTTGGGCGACCTGGGCCACCAGGATTACAAGTTTGTAGAAATATTTTAACATTATATTTGTGAAAAGTAAATATAAAAGTAAGTATAATATATAAATGTTTAAAATAAATGATTAAAAATTCTAGGGTTTGCGCGGTTTGATGGGTAGACCAGGAGCTTCTGGAAAACCAGGCAATCCTGGCGAACGTGGAATTCAAGGTGCAGATGGTAAATCCGGAGAACAAGGTCCACCTGGATCACAAGGTCTGCCAGGACCATTAGGGGCGCCAGGAGAGAGAGGCTATCCCGTAATTAATATTATTGCTTTTTCGTAAATTAACATGTGCACGAAATTTTTTACGAAAAATATATTTTCAAATAAATGCAAAATATATATTTTCGCTTGCGATACATATATTTATATAGTGCACAAGTATTGCATTAAATAAAAGGATTAAATTACAGAAGCTAATATCTACATGTAATCTAATTTTATTCAATTAGTTTTTTAATCTTTTATATTACGTTAGGGAGAACCTGGAAAAGATGGTGAGCCTGGTAACCCGGGATCGCCCGGTCCAAGAGGAGATACTGGTAAAGAAGGACCTCCGGGAATACAAGGTCCACCAGGTCCAGCAGGAAACGACGGTGCGCGTGGTTCTCCAGGGTCAGTTGGACCCAGAGGTTTTCAAGTACGCAGCATAGAAATGTATTTACATTCTCATGATGCAAAATATAAGCGAAATGCAAGATTTAACTTATTAATGAAATTTATACTTATACACAGGGTGTCCCAGGTGCCACCGGTAATCCAGGTGTTCCAGGTAAGGATGGAGAAGCAGGGATACAAGGACCTCCTGGTTCACCAGGACCAATCGGCAACAGAGGCGAGCGAGGAATTCCGGGAGAAAGAGGATTCATGGGATTTCCAGGACCTATGGGTCCGAAAGGAGAAACTGGAACTCAAGGCGCTGATGGTTTAACTGTAGGTTATTATCTTATATCTTGTATATTTAAATCGTTCAAAGTTAGAATAGTTCCGTCATTTCTATTTTTTATCTTTCAATATGGAGAGATTAAAAATTATATTTAGAAATAAACTTTTTAATTTAACTGCAAAATTTTATATTTAAAATAAATTTACAAATTATCGACCTGATTTTCTCTAAATGTCTTGTATGATAGCATATGATAGATCCAGAGTAAATTTTATATATCGTTATATATAATATGAACGCGTTGTGACATTTATATATATTCACATTATTTATTTTGTTTAGGGCTTACCAGGACTTAAAGGAGAAAGAGGAAGTACCGGTGCACCGGGATTGTTAGGACTTCCTGGTGCGAGAGGATTACCCGGAGAACCTGGACAAAAAGGAGAAAGAGGAGCGCTCGGACCTGTGGGTCCTGAAGGTCCACCAGGTAACATCCTATATTTTATTTATATGTAAAATTTGTAATACTTAAATTAATTTGTAAAATATTAATGTTAATGTAATATAACAATTTATTAAAAAATTATTGATTTTTTTTATTTATATTGTAGGACATATTGGAGAACGCGGTTTACAAGGAGAAATTGGACCTCCCGGACCTCCTGGAGAACCAGCGGAACGAGGTGATCCGGGTCCACCTGGTTTTATTGGCGAGCCAGGAGCAGCTGGCAAGCCAGGGGATACAGGTCCTCAAGGATTGCAAGGCTTACCGGGTTTCCCAGGCCAACAAGGATTAATTGGACTTCCTGGTTTAAAGGGTGATCGTGGATATCCGGGTTTAAAGGGAGAGCAAGGAAATCCGGGGCTATCTGGTAATGAACAAATAGTTCTAAATTACTTTATAATTAATAAGTTAACGTTACTTTATAATTAATAAGACATGGTTATTCGTGAAATTATTGTATGCTTACAATAATATATTAATATATGTATATTAATATATTATTTATTATATATGTTATATATGTTTTTATATTATATATTTTATAATGTGTAGGTTAGAATTTTTGTTTTTACAAGCAAGTATATGAATTATATTTGTTAATAGGCAGTCCTGGCGAAGCTGGATCACCTGGACTTATTGGACTTACCGGTGCTAAAGGAATTAGAGGTGAATCGGGTGCGCGAGGTGAACCTGGCTTGATGGGACCACCTGGTATTCCGGGACATGTTGGTCCAGCGGTAATTTATTAATTTCTACAAATTTTAACGAACAAATGCGAATAATATGCATCGTATAATATGTAATAAATAATAGAATATTAGAGATTTATATTTTATATATAGAGTATATAATATATATGTATAATTGAAAAAAAAATATATATACAGGGTTCACCAGGGAATATAGGATCACCTGGTGCTCCAGGATTGCCTGGTGCCAAGGGTGACGCGGGCGATCTTGGACGTCCTGGAAATCCAGGTCCGATTGGCAATCCTGGTCTACCCGGAATGGATGGAAATAAAGGTGAAAGTGGATCTCCAGGTCCTCAAGGACTGGACGGTCTTCAGGGACCTCAAGGTTTATCCGGTGAGAGAGGCTTACCAGGCCTACCCGGCTCTCCCGGTTCTATAGGAAATAGAGGATTACATGGAGCTCCCGTAAATATATAAAGATATATTTCAACAATATTAGTTTTATTTAGTTTTATTTCTTGTATTTTTAAAAAATATAAATTTTTAATGCATTTTTTATTTATAATCATTATAATTACTATTATTTTTTCTGCTTACAAATAATTTGATGAAATAATTTGTTACTATTGCAGGGTGAAACAGGACAACCCGGAAAACCAGGTACAGAAGGTCCACCTGGATCTCCTGGATTAGTAGGCCCTCCTGGCTCGCCTGGTCATGTAGGAGAGATAGGACCAGAAGGACCAATTGGAAAACCAGGACCACCAGGAATAGGTGGTCGACCTGGTGATAAGGGACCACCCGGAATACCTGGTGCAGCAGGTCCATCTGGCCCACCCGGACTACCAGTGATTATAATTTCTATTTTTCAAATGAATATACTACATAATAATAAAATAAAAATATATCAATATAAAATGTATCAATAAAAATTTATTTGCTTTTCTTTTAATAGGGACCACTTGGACCTACAGGACCTACTGGATTAGCTGGAGAACGTGGCCCGAAAGGCGAAGCGGGACCGCAAGGAGTAGAAGGTCCACAGGTAGTATAATTAAAATCCATTAATTAAATAATAAATTAAATTTAAATTAAATAACAATATTTAAATTAATATAAAAATTGAAGAAATTAAATTCGATTTAATTTATAATTATTATATTAAATTACTATATTAAACCTGTGAATCTTAAATAGAAACATAAAAAATGTTTCAAATGTATAATGTATAATGTATATCTAATGTATATCTAATTTTATCTAATTTTATATCAAATTAAATAAATAAATTGTACATGCGTGTATTATAATATACATTTTTAGGGTCCCCGAGGAAAACCCGGTCCGATAGGTCTCGAGGGTACAAAGGGCGATCGCGGAGAAGAGGGACCGAAAGGAGCGAAAGGACATCGCGGATTCAACGGTTTGCAAGGATTGCCCGGATCTCCTGGTTTACCAGGTGAGAAAGGTATGCCTGGTCTATCAGGACTCTCCGGCAAAGACGGGGAGCCAGGTATTAGAGGTAGTCCTGGACGAGAAGGTAACCCAGGACTTATTGGGCCTGCGGGAAATCCTGGACCAAGGGGTCCACCTGGAGAAGAAGGTCGTCATGGCTCTCCAGGTCTTCCAGGACCTCCCGGACCGCCCGGTCCTCCTGGAGAAATTGGTTTTGGTTACGATACCGCAGCTCTAGCAGCATTTATAGGTATGATTTAGTTGACTGAAAAATCATAAGATATATATTAATATAAAATATATGTTTGCACAAATATAATAAATTATATATAATTTATTATAACTGATCTTTAGATTTTACATAAATATATCTAAGATTTAAAAAAAATTTTTAAATATTGCTTAGACTTTCTTGAAACTCTTATTTGAGCTTTTATATTTTATTTAAATCTTTTTAGCTGTTATAAATGATATTAGCGTTAAAAAACTTACACAATTGTATTTATGATATAGGACAAGGTCAAACTGAAGGACCAGATCCACTCGGTGATGAACCATCGAGAATATTTAGTAAAGATATTACTGAAAAAGAACGAAGAGAATTGCTTATAAAAGCATATGAAAATCTAAAGTCATCATTCCACAAATTGATGAAGCCAGATGGTGAAAAAAATTCGCCGGCCAAAACCTGTCGAGATCTATTCGTTGCCTATCCGGAGAAATTATCTGGTGAGTCTTGAGGTCACTATAAAGATATAACTTGCACAATAATTACTGCACTTTTAGTCAATTTTCAATTCTTCCTTAAATTTCATTTTTCTAATGACAGATGCATATATCAAATATATAAAAATAGTGGCAATATTTCTCCTGAAAAAAAAACCAAATTAAAGAATCTTTAATCCAAAGATAATATAAAGAGCGATAAAGATATTATTACAATCTGTATAAATGAACACTTGTATAAGTGACTCAGAAAAGTATTCAAATAATGATATACTTATAAATTAAATTAAATCGTTTAAATATTATCTCATATCCTCCTGGGCTGTGTTCAAAAACATCACCCGAGTGCTCCCGAGTATCATTTTATCTTTGTTGTTCACTGAATGTTAAACAAGGATAAAATGATACTCAAGTGATATTTCTGAACGCAGCCCTGTATGTGTGTATAAGATTATTACATATAAATATATAGATATAAATATTTAATTAATATAAATTTATATATATATATATATATATATATATATATAAATAATGTATATTAATAGGCAAATATTGGATCGATCCAAACGAAGGAGATGTCCGAGATGCAATTTTAGTATACTGTGATGCTGAGAAACATGCAACTTGCATTTTACCGAGTCCCGTCCATTCACCAGAAATCACTCACATCACTGATCAACAGGAGACCTGGTTGAGTGAGATAGACGACGGCATGAAGGTTGTTTTATATTCTACATATTTGCTGATTCCCGTTGCGTTATCATGATGAACATAAGAAAGAACGCATTTCTGAAAAATAAATGTTTATAAAATGTGCGTAAATTTGTAGATTACATACAAAGCGGATAACAATCAAATCAATTTCTTGCAATTGCTCTCGAAACATGCGCAACAGAATATTACGTATCATTGTAAAAACAGCGTCGCTTACTTTGATTACGAGCGAAAAACATACAGAAGGGGTTTAAAGCTTTTAGCTTGGAACGATGTTGAATTGACACCACGTGGCAATCAGCGTCTTACATATGAGATGATAACAGATGAATGCAGGGTAAGTTAAATTTCTTTGTGCAATACTTTTACTTCCATTCAGGTCTATAGTCTATTTTTATTTTTAATGAGATATAGAGAATTTTATAGACAATTTTCGATCAACTAACATTTTTAAATTTCACGATTTTATTTAATTTTTTATTTTTATATAAATATTTATATAATATAAAAGAATATATTCATATGATTAAAATTTAAACATAGAAAGAGACATCTGTTTTAATTCAAATGTATTAAATGTATAAATAGAATATTAGACGTTTTCTCATATTTTTATAAGATCAATTTTGTATTGTATTATATTATATAATTTATTTGAATATTCATCAATTCATAGCTTTATCAAAACCATTGGGGTAAAACTGTGATTTCATATGAGACGGACAAGCCTATAAGACTCCCTATCTTAGACGTGGCTTTACGAGATATCGGGAAACCTGAACAAAGCTTCTCCGTTGAGATCGGTGCGGCTTGTTATCAATAATATAAAGTACAAGATATGATATAATATTACGACTGTTATTTTTCTGCCTACTTATTGAACTATTCGTCATTTTCCATTGTATAAGGAAATGATGTGTTCCAATATACCTTAAGGAAATGAGATGACTATACATTAAAATTAGATTCTTTACAATAAAATTAGCAATTAAACATTATATTTAACTTAATCTGTTTAGTGATGGCTTATATTGTGTATATCGTTTTCTTACACAAGTTCTCGAATAATGGAAATAATCTAAAAATACTTAACAGAATTATGTCTATTATAAGTGAACTATATTACACCTCTTATATTCTAAGTGCGATTAATTGAAAAAAAAAATTGTGATATCTAAAGATCAATATTACTCAAACAAAAACGTTATCGAAGTACTTATATTATCCATGACAAACATCAAATATCTGAATCTATCCAGGTATGAAAAAATTACGCATTACGGATTTAATACTATATGCGCATTACTATATGCCAAGATATTATTGTATATGTAATGATAGATAAGTTTTATTTACGCGTCACACATATATATTTTATTATTGTCGACCTATATATATTCGGTGGCTATTTAAAAAAAATAAAATTGTACGTGCATAATCAAAATTATTGATTCAGTATATATTTTGCGTAATATCGAAATGTTTTGAAACGTGTAATTATTTCGAAAAAAATTTGTAATATTTCGTATTTATTTTTCTTCTTAATTCATTAATAAGACGTGCGTAACGCAATTCATGCATAGAAAAGGAAAAGAATTTCATGATTGCAAAAGCATTCTCCTTAGCTATGCATCTGCAATAATAGGATTCTTTTTCTTTTTTTTTTAATTTGTTTTTTATCATTTTTTAAAACATAAACATAATAGAAATAATTATCTTCTTTATTAAATCTTGTTTCAGACTTTAATACAGACAATATAAAAGAAGAAGAAATAAGAATTAGAAATCAAACTAGGTAAAAAAAAGGATTAATTTTATCTATAAGTGCAACTATTTATATACCTATTTTTATACATATGAATTGCATTGCTCATCGAAATTTCTTTTGATCGTTGATCTTGATGCGTTCGTAGCTACTGTTGGCGCGTGCGTAATGGAATGCTTTCCTCGGTCATCGATGTCAAACATGCCGACCAGTGCTGTATTAAAACAGTAGCATTTGGTGTGCAAGAGAGTGAAATTTATATCATACAATAATATCTACATATAATTAATATATTTAATTATATATATATATATATATATATATATATATATATTTATTAACATTTATTTTTTTATTTCAAATTTTTTATATTAAATGCTATAGTTGTAATACACACATACATATAAAAAATATATAAACAGCTGTGAGCAAAAGTTATTACATATATTATTATATATAATATAGTAAGTATAATATATTTGAAAAGTATGTAAGGAATTTCTGTGCTATTACGTCATTTTGCACCGCATCTGTGTCGACCAATAGTGTCAAACCATTGAGTCACCATGGTACTCGCGGCAAAAGGGAACAGTCGAGGAGTCGAGAAGCTTTGGGACTCGCGGTAACCAAATTCCGGTCAGTCAGTTGTGCTCTAGCGTCCCGTTCGTGTCGTCAGCTGCTCGCACCGAGATCGCGAGCTCTTATAACGAAACGTTTCTCGCCACAAAATTCGACGGACACTTGCGATCGATTAAATCGAATTCGTACAAAATACACGTGTCAGTGTTTATTATCCCGATCGCTCCAATTCTGGCGACCAACTTCTGTTTCCCTTCGGTTTATCGATCGACCGGGCAAGCCGTTTTCGCGCGCATTTTTTCCACGAGCAACAAGCTAAAGAAAGAAGATTTCTTTGGACGGAAAGATTGAGGTTAGTCTCACACTTGTTGTGCGTGTTTGAGTCATTACTGGTCGTGAACGAAGCCCTTTTATTGCTCTTAATGGTCTCAGTATTAGCAGCAAAATCGTACATTCTATTACGTTTAATTTTTATTATTGTCTGTTAAAGCAGAGTTCAACAAAGAGAGTTTCGAGATAACATTACTTAAGCGAAAATTTTCTATTTTTAAGTTGTAAGTTTTGAATAATTATATAAATAAATAACATCCAAGGCAATAAATTATAAATCAAATTTTATAGTTAATTCTCTATTATTTATAATTATGAAAACTTGTGCAATAAGTATTATATCTTTGTGAAAAAAAGGAATACAATTGAAAAGAAGTTGATGATTTTCCTCGACGTGTCTTGAGTAAGTCGTTTCAAGAAGTAATAATTAACGTTAATATAAACAGAGTTCATTTTACATGGATTCATAAATCACACTTTGTTATGTCTCGAGGCAAAATTAGACATATGACTTTGCCAAGTTTAACGAGTACATGTCAGAACAAACATTGATATATTTCGTCCGACATTTATAAATGCTATGACGAAAATATATATTAAAAAAATGGATATAATTTATCTCGTACATTATCAAATATAATTATTTCGCGCGTCATATCGTTCTTGACGTAACGAAGGACAAGGACATTATACCATATGATTTATCAGAATTTTACATAGTATGTAAGTCGCAAGTGTAAATTTTTCGCAGTAAATCTTTTAAAAGGAGAAAAAAAGATAAATCTTGAAAAATTGAAGATACTTTGAAAACGAAAAAAAAATTGATAACGAAAAATTATACGATCGAATAATGCTACTTGAAAATTTATTACTTTCAACAAATTCCATCGTTCGATTCTCGTGCTTCTATAATTTTATTTATAGCTTCTATTGCGTGTAATTTTCTTGCGATTATATCATCACGTGAATTGCACGAGATTATTGGCTTCGTAAACTCGGATGATCACATTCCGGAAATTTCACATGATTGCAATAAATGTTAAAAGAGTACCGCAAATTGCGAGATTACATTTCGAAAGATCTATGTAATTCCGATGAAAGTCGAAAAAAATATATTCGCAAGATTATGCAATACTGATAACTTCTCTTTTATGATCGAGATAATTGTTTCGCGAAAATATTTCGGAATGTAGACAGCTGTGCGCGCAAATGTCAGAACGTGCTATCAGCGGATTACGATTTCATCAGTCATCTATATATATATATACAGGGTGATCCCGAACGTTCCAGCCAGACTTTGAGATCTTATAGGAAATTTAATTCTGAACAAAAAATTTCCTTTAAACATGATTCGAAAAATGCTTCCTTAAGAAGTTATCGCTCAAAAACCTCTGATGAAGAAAGAGCAAAAGGTAAAAAGAAAATGAAATAAAAGGAAATAAAAGGAAAAATTTCATTTTCTTTTTACCTTTTGCTCTTTCTTCATCAGAGGTTTTTGAGCGATAACTTCTTAAGGAAGTATTTTTCGAACCATATTTATAAGAAATTTTTTGTTCAGAATTAAATTTCCTATAAGATCTCAAAGTCTGGCTGAAACATTCGGGACCACCCTGTATATATATAAAATTCAAGTGTAGTGACACATCACATGTCGAATATTTACGAGAGTAAAATTTTTATATCCCGGAAGCATACTTTCTCAAGATGACTCAAAATCAAATGTCTTATCATCTTATCATCTTATTAAAATGAAAAGATCAGTGAATTAACGATAAGTGTCGAGGAATGTTAGATATTTGAGAGTTTTAATATTGTTAAAATCAGCTGATTCAAGTTTTATTATTTCATACATTTGCTATGTGATATGTAGTACAGTTCCTTTTATAGAAAAAGAAAGTAGAGAATCAGCACGATTTTCTTATATGCTTTTCTTATCTTGATCAGTAAACTACGATCGGCAAACAAAAGATTAAAACTGTAATGAAAAGATTCAACGTTAAGTCAACGAAAAGCAAACTCTAAAATATCTTGAGAAAATATCTTAAGAAAATCATTCACTCGTAAATAATCATTCAAGTCCGTTGACGAATGAATTAAAATCTGTCAAATATATTATGTCATTTTTGTCAATATTGGTTAACGTGACATTCTTTGATTTCTTCCGAGATACCTATCAAATCGCAATTTATTTCATATAGACGAGGTAACTTTTTTATCAAATCGATAACTTTCCGTTCCATTAATTCAACCAAAAAGAACAAACTCATTATCATACTTAAGTTTAGCGCGCCAAAAAATATGACTTGTTACGCAAGGTCAATTCTAATAATGACAGCAATTTAAATATAGAATTTTCGCGTTGTGGCGTACGTGCTACGAGCGTGACAGGCAAATGTTGCGTGTTTTTCAGGCGTCCTCGTGATCATCCCGGAGAACGTTGCATCGAGCACGTCAACTTGCGTGGAAGAGGCAAAATAGAGGAGATCGCGTCGATCAACTTTAAGTTTACGAGGTGGCGTGACAGGATCGAGCCAATAGTCGTTGAATCGATTAAATACCGAAAAAATAAAACCAGCAGACGAAGCGAAGTCGATTTTCATCGATTGACGAAGTGTTCGCGCTTGGTGGCGAAGATCGAACACCGAGGGAATCTCTTTCTTCTTCGCATCACACGCACGTCGTGCATCTCGCTCTCACGCTGATAATATAGTTTAACAGTGAGAGCAAGGCAGTGAGAATGGCTCTCTTCCGGAAGTTCAATGGTAAGTACTTATTTGTCAATTAACGATTATTGGCTGTACGATATCGTGTGTCTCTATTTGCTCGGTTTATATTTTTATTGTAGGTTTCCTTTAGTGTAATTCATCGATTTTTTTTATTCTTATTACATTTTCTATTTTACTTCTTTTTAGATATTTATAATCTATTATATTTTTAAATTAAGTCTGTTTAAAATATTGATTGAAATCTGCTTAGTATTTATAACTAGAACGTAATATGATTTTATAAATTTATTTTATAATGCACATATGTAGATGCGAAAATATTAATTACATAATATTAAAGAATAATAATAAATATAGGTACAAAAATGTTAATTATAATATTAAAAATATCAAAATATTTAAAAAATAAATATTAATAAAATAATGAAAATAATTAATAAAATATAATAAAAAGTAATAAAATATCAAAAATAAGAAGTATTAAATTTCTAGTCGTATGTCTATTTTCACATAACGATTATTTTTGCATATATAAATATCATATATAAAACATTGAAATATCAATAGTTCAATGTTCAATATCTTTGCCAATATATGTATGTATATCGGTAGCTCTTTAGACTTTGGTAAACAAATTCCAAAGTTCTCAATATGTATGTGTCAGCAGTTAAACATAACATTTGAATAATAATAAATAATCGAATAATCGAATAAATAACTGAGTTGTTATCAAATAAAAATTTCAATTGCATATAATTAAAAAAAAATCAATACACATTATAAATCAATATTTTTTCAATTCAAAAGAATATTAAAATTTTCACTTAAAAGTCTTTTATATGTACAAAAGAAATTATTTTCCTCGAAATTATTTTTGGAGAAACTTTGTGACATGATTTTCGCGAACATCACATCATCACATTGACACAATAAATAATTCTTCTTACAAAAATTTCCAAGTGATAAGCATCATCTTAAATATGATAAGTATTATATAATGGCTTGCGTGTAGATTGAACAAAAATCAGAAGAGATAGCTACAGCACGGTATCAAGTTCATATGACTTTGTGCCGCGTCATTTGCGATGTAAACGAAAATTCAAATAAGCAAACGTTGCGCATTACATTACGCAGTTGCATATTCGTCGCACACATCACGTATTTTTTATCGCACGAGTGACGTACAAGCATGTCTCAACTTCGTATAAGGTGTCCGTAATACGAGCTTCTATTTCTCGTTGTTCAGTTTGCAGAAATAGATACGGAACAGATATATTCTGGCACATTTTCCGTTCTTAACTTGAAAAAAAAAACGTAAATGGAGGATTTATCGATCGCGTACAAGGTCTGTCAGAAGCATTGATTTTAATCTTGACGACGTATTCTAAACGTATCTTAAATCAAACCGTTCAACGAGACATTTTTATTATTAGAGATAATTTTTTATGGGAAAAAACTGTTACAACTATATTTCTTATATTTTTCAGCATTACATTTTTTGGTACAAATAAATTTTTAATTAAATTAAAAAAAAAATCAGATTTTTTTTGACCAGATTATTTTAAAATATTAAGAAAATTTCAATTTTCAAAATTGGAAATTTTAGTTCAAATTTATTATAATAAAATGAAAGATTACAGAAGATCTTGAACACGATATAATATACAGTCGTAAAACTACTTATTGATGAATGACTTGTATTTAAATATGTATACGAAATTACCGGAAACACTGCATAAATGTGTGAATTTACTGTGCTCAAATCAAGATATTTTCTTTCACGGTATAAATATTATCATGATTAATATTCTCGATCTACCGGCATGTAATTATCATACGTGATAAAAAAAGTTAAAAAAAAATATTACGCAACTCAAAGAGCGTATTGGTTTTGAATATTTGCTTCGATGTTTTGAATAATAATTTTACATGTGTATTTAATTTTTTCTAAGTTGTGTTAACTATTTTTTTTTAGATTGTGCTTATCATGACATTGTTATAGTAAATATTTTTGTGTCACATTATTTTTGTGTCATAATATTATATTAAATACATTTTGTTATTTTTATACACACATAGTTAATCAAAATTAATAACATCAAAATTAATAACGAAGAAAATTATTCAATCCGAAAAATATGTAATACTAAAGCAAAAAAATTAATACACAAAGAATATATTAATATATAGATATAATATTGCATTAAATTATTTTCACTAAACAATTGACAATTTATGTAAAAAATATAATTTATATTTATAAAAATAATCGTGTTAAATGTTGTAAATTACTGTTCCTCTCAGAATTATCTCATACTTTATAATCAATAACCTTTATCAATTCAGAAAAATAATATAGCTGTCCATGTTAAGGATTTTAGAAAATTATATAAGACGAGATTTAGGAAATTGTGTAATTTTTTTTAAATTTTATTTTCCTTATCTATCGCTATTTCAGTCATTCTTTTATAATTTCATTAAAATGTCATTTAATGCTGCTTATTTATTTTATAAGTAAGATTGGACTATCTCTTCCGATAATATAAAAGAAAGTCTTTAATTAATTTCAAAATAATATAAAAGAGAGTCATTAATATGAATTAATAATCAATAAATAATAAAATAATATTTTGTGTACACAATTTTAAAAAAATTTAATTTATCTACTAAATTATTTATATATTAAAGTTTAAAAAATTGTAACAAAATTATATTTATCCATCAATCATGTAGAGAATATTTAGAGTTTATTTGTTAATAAAAAATTTAGGTATGATTATTCCGCGTAACAATTCACATATCAATGATATATTGCTTGTATCAGAATATGGAATTGGAATTAATTTAATCTTTTCATAACAGTTAAAGTAAAAAATCAAAGTATATTGTATCGTGCGATATGGAAAGGATGAAAACGTTCGTGTTACGAAAGTAATCTGCTATCGATTCGATTTTCTTTCTCTCTCGTCGTGCACTGTAATTATCATCAATTCAATAACGCAACACAAATCGTTAATACGAAAGAGAATGATTGTTCGATCACGTATAACTTCATGGTCTTCTAGAATTTATAACCTGCTTCAATGTTTTTCCTTGAACGGAATTCTTTTGAATGGTCAGGGTTGACTGCAAACATTAATAAAATAGTTATAATAAATAAGTTATAATTTTTTACATTTATAATCTTAGAATTTTATAGATATATTATCAACTATATATTTGTAGTGATATATATTATTTATTAATATGTCCTATTAAAATTAAATATTAATATTAATAAATTAAGATTAAAATTAAATATTAATATTACTAAATAAAAATTATAAATAATATATAATATATAGAAATATAATATAAAATAATAACATATTAATATTAATAATCATTAATAATAATAATTCATTATTTCTTGAAGTGCTTGTTTTTTATAGCAACATAGAATGTCGCAAGCTGGACACGCAATGGTTATTTTCGTGCATATTACATATAATAGAAGGCGAGATGTTTACTGTAAAATACGTCATTCATTCTTGATTTGAAATTATTAGGTTTCATATGCTGAGAAGTTCAAAGTCTCAATTTTGCGTTATAGTGAGACAAACAGATATATATTTATGTTCGTGTGTTATTTTGATGCGAATACACGATTATTTCAATAATGAATATTAATAGAAAGTTTGCAAGAGGTTTTTAATAACTCTGAGATTAATACCTAACATAGTAATAAAATAACAATAATTAACATAGTAATAATACTAATAATAATATAATTTAAAATCGATTAAGTGTAAATAAAAGAGAGAAAGAATTCCTATAAATTATTAATTTGAATAAACATGTTTTTCATATGTATTTTAATATTATATATTTAAAATTAAAAATTTTAATATTATATATTTATTATATTTAAAGTCATTAAAAATAAACATTATTTGTTTAATTAAAAAATTATTAATATAGATTATTAATACAGATAAAAAATTATTAATAGATTATAGATTATGATTATTATTGTATCATTGAAAAATATCGCATTTAATAAATTATCGCAATTTATCTCAATTGACTCTTTAACAATAGGCATTTGTATGTATTATAGAGAAGATTCCCCGGAGAGGAATTCTGGGGGCGATGATGTTTCTGGCTTGCATGTTCTCGTATGTTATTCGTACTAATTTATCCATAACTATTGTTGCTATGGTAAATGCTACGAGCAAAGACGGTGGAGTAGGTCCAGCGTGCTCTATAGCAGACATAAAAAGCAATAAGACAGTCGAGATCAAAGATGTAAGTTGGCGATCACTAAAAATTTATATAGAAACTTTCACAAAATTATACTATAAATATATCTTTCTTATACTTTTCTTTTAGTATGGAGAACGTTTTGAATGGAATCAACATATCCAAGGACTGTTACTATCAGGATATTTTTATGGCGTTTTACCAGCTAGTGTACCAGCTGGACTCTTAGCCGAAAAATATGGAGGTTCTAAAGTAGTAGCGTAAGTATAATTGAAAATAAATTAATAATTATTAATTTGTCTCCAGAGAGTTATTTTTGACTTTTTGTGACATAGATTTGCCACATTAATACCCGCAGTATTAAATCTCTTAATGCCATGGGCTGCTTCTGTTCACTACGGTTTCGTCTTCGCTCTTCGTTTTGTAATGGGATTTTTTGGAGTAAGTTGTTCATCTTGTATGTCTTTCAAGTATTGTGAATTCGTTATATTTAATAAAATTGTATGAATTCTCTGCATTCAAATACTATACTTAATTTTGTTTTATGATTTTTATATCTAGTTTTAATATACCTAATTTCATTACATAGAGTATATTTTTTTACTTAATTTTGTAAATTTTTTAATAAAGAGATATTTTTTATGCTCCTTTTTGTGTAGTATATTTTCAAATCAGATGTATGTAAATCCTTAATAAAAATAAATCTTTAATTTTTAGGGCGCCGTTTATCCTGCTCTCCATGCGATGATTGCTAGATGGGTGCCTCCTGGTGAAAAAGGCATGTTTGTGTGGACTATGCAAGGTAATAATTAGTCTTTTTTTTATGTTCTCAAGATATAATAATATATAATATTTATATGTTTTTGGTTTTTTTTAAGGTGGTCCATTCGGAACTGTTGTGACATTCGCTTTATGTGGTGCGGTAATCAGCGCTTATGGATGGAAAACTGCATTTTACGTTACAAGTGCACTTATGTTAGTTTTTTATGCTTTATGGGTATACCTAATATACGATACACCGGAATTGCATCCCGGGATCACGGATAAAGAGAAAACGTATATAAAAGAACAAATCGGCACTACTGTCTCAAAGCAAAAGGTTTGAAATATATTTTTCATAAACTACAAAATAATGAAAAAAATAAAAGAAATTAATATTAATGTTAATATTAATAATCTTACATAGGTCCAATTACCAATAAAGGCAGTTGCTACATCTTGTCCGTTTCTAGTATTATTATGGGCTCATTTTGCAAACATGTGGGGTATATATTTCATCGCTACAAACGGCCCGAAATACACGTTAGAAGTCCTCGGTTTCAACATGAAATCGGTATTATTTTCGTAATGAATTTATTTCACGAAAAAAGTCTCGATTATAATATTATACTTTTATCTCGTCATTACTAAAGATGTTTCTATTTTGTTTATTTATATTGTTTGTTTATAGGGTGGCGCAATAACTGGATTGCCTTATATAGCTAGATTAGGCGCCGGAGTATTATTTGCAGCAGCGGGCGATTATGTGCGAAGGAAGAACTTTTTGACTCTAAGCTGGTTAAGAAAGATATTTATGCTTTTCTGTAAGTAACAATCTATTATTTCTTTGTTTGAAACAATCTATTATTAAAAGTTGAGATATTGTAATGTATGCGCGTATATATGTATAAACAATGTTATCTAATTAATGATTGTTGCATGTTATATGAACAGCTCACATGGGACCTGCAGCTTGTTTAATAGTGATGACATATGCCGGTTGTGATGCTACAGTTGCGATGGTAATGTTAATATTTGCGTTAGCCTTCAACGGAGCTGCGTGTCAGACCAATTTACAAAATCATCAGGATTTAGCACCAAATTATGCTGGTTCTTTATACGGAATTATGAATACATTCGGTAGTTTTCCCGGATTCATCATTCCACCCATTATTGGTGCTTTAACCAATGAGAGAGTACGTTACTTTTTTACATTAAAATTATGTCAAATATATATACTCTAATTTGTTTAACATGTTTTCATATTACAGAACGGAGTTGAGGAATGGCGTATAATGTTCTGGATATCGGCGATAGTATTTATATCGGCAACGGTACTGTTTTGGCTATTCGGATCGGCGGAAATTCAACCGTGGAATGATTCGACTCACACTAAAGTACCTACTATCGCTGAAGAGGAGAAGCAGATAACGATAAAAGATACAGCGATTGATACGGAAACCGAAGAAAACGAACGTCTCTAATGATTTAGAAAATTAAACGAAGGTAATATGTGTCCATGTCTGTACAGAAATTAATAGTTTATTGTCGAAAAAAGAATACATTTGAGGATAATGCAAATTTTGACTTTTCTGTCAAAAAATGTTATTATGTCATATTTTATATACCAATTACAATCAATTTGTATAGCTTCCAATTATTAATGGATACGAAAATAATTATCTCCTTATTAACGTATATCATAAACTTGAAGTAAAACAGAGATAATTAAAATCTACAGAATATTCAATATAGAATATTCATAATTATGTTATTTAGAATATTCATGCTCCCAATTACAGATACATATTGCTGGAATATCATGCCATCTTTCGTATTTAATCGGATTTATATCTTCTAGATAAAGTTATTTTTTTTAGAATATAAGACTAGAATATTTCGGAAGATAAAACGTTTTAGATTTTATATATTTTTCATGACTTTCATGCATTTGTATCATCTCAAATATTTAATTATAAGTATTTATATATTTGATATTGTATCACGTATACTACTTACATCACAAAACGTCACGATCGTATCATCAGATATCTAAAAGAATTATAGACGTGGTATTCAAACAATGTTTCGAAACGTAAGAATACTCTATAGTGCATTTTTTGATTGCGTGCCAAAGTACATGTATGTTATTCTCATTGAAGGACAAAACTATGGTCGATGAATTTAATAGATTCTCTGTGAGATAGATATGAGGAACCTTTGGCACTGTCTTCGGCCTAATAAATAGCCGAGGCTAAGTTAGATATTATAAATACTTTATGCTAGGTACATTAAATCGTCATGTCTGTATATTTCTCATTATACACAATGTTAAACTTTCTTTGCACGAGACGATTTTACATGTAACTGTGATATACATATTCGCAGTAATTTACGCATACTGATCTCCGATTTAATCGCGGCCAGTGATCTACAGATTGTCTAATATTCCAATTTATTTGTGAATAGACAAATAAATTAGGCAAATAAATTAAATGATCACAAAATATTCAAATCATGAAATAAAATTGCGGTGAAAAGTAGCTTTTCTATAATTTTTACTTATGTCTTTGCGTCTAGAGAATGACTGAAAATTTTAAGATCTAATCACTCACATCTGAAGTTGATTGCACTCGTGAATAGGCGAAGAAGAAACACATCACATTCATAGATTATGGAAAGATATACTGTACTGAAACGTACATATGCGTTTGCTATCTATAGAAAATATAGAAAATAATAAATGTGTTGTTCCTATATTTGAAAAAGGCGATCATTGTTCAAATCGAATTATTTCAACGCAATGTTTGTTGTTTCACCAATAATAATATTACTACGCATGTAATTACATTAAAATCTATGTAAAGGAAGTGTTTAGCAATAATATTTTTTGCGTAATAATCATAAAGAAAAAGTATACATGAAGATACAACTCGTTTACTTGTTTTAAAGTAAATAAGTTATGCGCATATATAGATGTGTCATAATATTATTAATTGAGTTGTATATGTTATTTTTAAACACATATTTTTTAAAATATATGTCTTTTATTTAATTAAATCTCGACAGCATTTGTTTTGTGAAATTCGTGTACAAATCGTAATAGATTGTATGTACATACATGTATAACGAACGATCGACTATTATGCGACTTCTCATTATATAATAATAAAGAAAGTCATGTGTGTCTCTACAAATGTCATCAAATTTATTATAAGTAGATCAACAATCTTTTTTTTATTTCTAGATGATTAATAAATAAAGAGAAATGGACAAACTTTTTTATCAATTTGACACAATTTGCACGCACATTCATATATATATATATATATATATATATATATATATATATATATATATGCATTTGCAAATAAAAATCATTACATATGATTTCTATATATTAAAATTTTTGTTTTTATTATTTTAAAATCAACAAAAAAATTAACAAAAAAGTGTTAATGTGTATACGTGATGTTTCAACGCAAAAAGATTAATTCGCTTTTCGATTTTCATTATTATATCCGTCTTTGAGATTTCGATAAAGGACGAATAGAAACGACTCTAAATTTATCTACTCGTGGCCTAGCGCAAATCTGGTTATTAATAGATCGCCTACAATATTGATCTAGGTTCAGTAATGTGCAATCATCTACGTTGCAAGATATATGTTCCTCGTTTATGTCATCATCGAGCAAATTATGTTCTTGTGTAGCTAAAAAAGTAATTGTGGGACAAGTATCGCGGGTGCAAAATGTGCTCTTCAATATTTGTAATGCTTTTGTTGCTTGCAAACTTGGAACGCTCTCAGATTGTGATGATTTCTTACAGTAAGACTTAGGGGCCGATCTCGATCTCATAATGCTAACACTAGTTGTATTACTAGCAGAATTATCTCCTAATATTAAAACATATTTTTTTATAATTATAAATTATAAGAATTAATCATAAAAATAAATAGAAAGCACAGTAAAAAATAAAAGGTTTTTTTAAAAGAATTTTTACAATCTTTGAAGGAAAATATACAGATACCTTTTAGTGACCATGATTTCGCTAATGTACTATCGATGATACGAGCCCATCCACTGATAGAATCTGTGAAATATATACATATTATATACAATAGCAAATTATAGAGAAATATGAAGGAGAAGAGTCACACATATGTAATAATAAAAAATTGCATAATATATGTAATGTATATTTCTATATACATATTTTAATATATAAATATATATTATAATTTATTTATTGTAATACATATATACACACACAGGATGTCCCAGTTATCTTCCGTCATCTTTCAAAGATAGATTCCTGGGATCATTTGAAGACGATTTTTGCTCAGCAAAAATGTCAATGAAGGTCATCATTTTGCATGTTCCCGATTTTTGTCATCATATATCTTTGCAATTAAGTCTTAAATTAAAACTCAACTAAAGTAAACTCTATTTAAAATTAATCGAAGAATGTGGTTTTGTTAATATTTTATTTCTACAAAGTTTAGTTTACGAAAAACCCCTTATTTCCAATCACTTATAATTCGAAAATTATTAGTGCCTCGACATTTTCGTTGAGGAAAAATCGTCTTCAGATCCCAGGATCCCAGGAATCTGTCTTTGAAAGATGACGGAAGATAACTAGGACACCCTGTATTATATATATATATATATATATATATATATATATATATATATATATATTACTTATAATTAATTATTCATGAAAAGATGTTTTCGATTTAATTGTTTAATATATTAATGTACCTCGAGTTTGAATGCCTTTCTTCGAAGTCATGAGAATATTAATAGTCTTATTAGCAACATCGCCTGTTTCCTTAGATGTTACACTACACGATGTCGACAATTGATCGTTGGTCAATCTTTCAATCTTCTTCTTCATTAAGTCGGTCGGTTGGAGATGCGGATTCTTCGCTTTCTCCGAAACTGTCGCGACAACGTAACACGGATTATATGCCAATAATATGTCCCGGGTACGCAGCAATTTCGTACTTTGAAGCGGCAAATCTTTTTCTTCTTGAGCTGCTACGCACCAATGACATATCGATTGCCTGGCACAAACTGAGCATAGAACCTCTTTAGATTCTTTGATCCTCGTAACTACAGGAACTCCAGCGAGTCCTGTCTGAGTAGCAGCGATTTCCGTTTCCTTTTTCAGCATAGACTCGACAATCTTCCTTCTTCTTCGGTCGAGTGTTTGCTCAATTGATTCGGCTGTACAGAAGTAAATATTTTGTTAGCAAATTATAAATAAATAATTTGACAATAATGGCTTGTGTGTGCTTTTTATATATAATTATTTCGTTTATAAATAATCGATTCGATTATAAAAATTAAAAAAAGTTTATTTTTCTGTATATATAAAAAGTATTTTATATAATAAATTCGCTAACGTTGTGACTGTTTTCGAATTTCTGCGAATTTGGATCCAATCAAAACTGTCTGCTGTATCAATGAATTTAGGATATTCTTAATAACGCCTCGTGCATCACGAGATATCTCGTCGCAAGTAGAACGCAATAGATCCTCTATCAGTGGCAGAGTGACAATCGATGCTTCAAAGGGATCGACCACCACGGGTATCTTTAATTTCCGTAGCACGTCTTCTTCCTTGATATCAGGAGACTTATAACTGGCTACAGTTTGAATTAATCGATCTGTCGGTGGATATTTGAGTCTATTTGCTCCTTTCACGATTATTTCATCCATCAGATGGTCGATTATAATTCGAGATTCGACTCCTTTGAGGCATTCCTGAAGACAGCTTTGCATGAAACTCTTTGTTTCTTCATACTCGGCCAACAGTTTGCTATTTGATTGTCTCGGCTTGCAAGTCAGTTTAGTTTGAGTTTCATTGTCTAACACGATACTATTGGTATTGCGATTGTATCGTATTAAGGTTTGCGTTTCTTGACACTTCACTTCGGAGATTCGATCATGGATGGGATCAGATATCCAAAACGCGCGTGACAGCAGGAAATTTAGAACTTCGAGTATTATTGTCTCTTTATCTATATCTTCTGTCAGATTTTCTTGATGGTTTTCATGCGTATAACGTGATAAATAATTTATTGCTTCATCCTGCGATGTTCTAGGAACAATCGTAATCATAGTCTGACTCGAATGATTGCTCTTGAATACGGGCATCGGACTGACATTCATTAAAGCTGAAAATGTATGAGTTCTGAGGTCTATCTAATGATTTACTTTTTTAATATTTTAAATTTATCTCTCACGTTTTATAAATGTAATTGAATAGAGATTTAAAAAATTAGTTTATATGTTATGGCGTAAATATTAGAATATATAGAAATTAATATATAGAATTATTTCTATTATCCAGCATTACACAATATTTAATTTACATTAAAAAATAAAATAATTACAGAAAAGAATAAAAATATTTCTGCAAATTTTTTCTGTCATTTTATAATAATTAATGTAAATATAATGCATAAAAATATAAGATATTTTATATATAAATCTCTAAATTATTTAAATATAAATTTGACTTATATTTTAAAATTAAATATAACTTTGACTTTAGACTGTTTATTTAATTAAAAAAGATTTAATGTTTCTTCAATTTAAATCTCTCTAAATTATTTAATAAATATTAAAAGGGAAAAGAATTTAAAATATCTTAATTAATCTTATGAATTTTTTTTCATTACTATTGCTATTGTTTACTTATGATATGTTCAGAATATTTCTCAGGCGGACAAGGGCTACTCATGTACATCGTTTGTGATGCTTCATGCTTATATTCGATTGGTATACCCACTATAGGGACACCCTGCAGAAACGTTTGATTCTCTGCATCTTTGGTAGATTCCTGTTCTAATTCTCTGAAATTGATCAAATACTTAATAAGAAGAGGTACACGGGAAATAAAATCCTCCTCGCTTATGTCGAAAAAATCCTTGACGTTTGCTGAAATTCTGCTCGTGCTCTTGATTTCTCGAAGTTCGACATCTTTGTGCTTTAATACAACATTTTCGACATCTTCCTTTGGCGTAACCGCGATCAAAGTTTGAGTCCATGATGTTGGTAAAAAACATTCCCCTTTTTTATCTTCTTCTTCCATCTATAAGAGTGAGTGAGTGTGTGAGATTATAAATTATATATCTCTATATTCTCTATTTTTTTGTGTAATAAAATGTGTATATAAAAATATCTGAATGTATGTATGAACAAATAGATATTTTGTGCTATTATTAATCAACTCATTATTTTAAACATTGCATACCTTATAATGTTACATATAATAATATTATAAACATCAATTAATATCATAATTAAAAATCAATTACTTCTATTGAATGTAATAATTATTCGATCACACGTCTCTTGCGTGTTACTGTGATCCCACATCGATGCAAAACGTGTTGTACTGTAGTGTGATGACATTGCAAATTTCGTACAATTATTTTATGCATTAAATAACATTTTTAGTGTGAAAATTTTTTTATAAAAATTTAATCATTTTAGAATTTGTAAACATTAGAATTAAACTGACACATTTCACGACTAGATGTTTCTTATTTTTAGGTTTTCATACCTTATACACTTTTTGGCAATTTCAGTCGCTTATTACATATTATAGTTTGTAGTATATATTATAGGAAAAAAATAAATACAGTGTTTATGTTTTATATACATATTTTATTATTAATTATTTTTATAATGATAATATATATATATATATATATATATATATATATATATATTCTACATTAATATATATTAATATATATTTTCTACATTACTATATATATATATATATATATATATATATATATATATATATATAGTAATGTAGAAAAAACAACTTTATTTTTAAAACATTTTTTATGAGAGAAAAGAATTTATTTTTATTTTTTCGCTGAAAAATTAAAGAGATCTTTGATTCACTTTAAGAATGAATGTTCTTATTTCCATCGGTTTTAAGAGAACATTGACTACATTGTCATGAATCTCTACAGGTTGTACGTTATCGTCCTCGTTTAAAATAATTTCGTTTGTCTCTGGTTCCCATTCCATACGATTATTTTCGCTTAATAGCTGATTAGCGCCTAACGTAGTTTCTTTGATCGATTCAATCAAGAATGTTGAAAATAGATCCTGTCGGGAACAATAATAAGATATTACAAACTCTTTTCTTTTTTTTCTAGAAAAATCCTTTTAAAAGTTTATAAGTTTTTAAAATGTTATCGTAATTATATATATAATCAACTGAGTGTATTATATTATATTAGCTGTAATAAAAAAATGCTATTAAATATATTTGTAAAGAATATAAAAAAACATACTTGGATGTTAACTTCCACTGGTTGAGACAACTGTTGCGCTTCACCGACTTCAAAGATATGCTCCAATCTCAGCAAAATCGTGTCATCTTTCCATGGCTCCAAAGTAAGAATATGCACGTTTGGCGGCAATGCTTTAGTAAGACCCGAGACCTATAAAATAAATGTTAATTAATAATAATCACAATCAAAATTGCATTTGCTTATAAAATAATTTATAATTCGTAATATATCTTTGGGAATTACTTATTAAATTGTAGTGAAAAAAATATCTCCGAATCTTAGAAATTATTGATCAAGCTTTGATACTGTTGCACAAATTTTTTATAAAGATATAAATTAAAACGTAAGAATATACCAAAGTTTTGACTTTAGACAATATATTTGTATATTGTTCAGAGGTAATGGGGCTGCCTATGATCCAGGGATGTAGAGCCAATTTGAGAGCCAGTTCCTTCTCTTTCAATACGAATTCATCCACATTTTTCAGTTTACCTCCAAAAAGATAATGCGTGCCTCTTACTACTAAGCCTTCGCCAAACGCAGTTTCGTTCAATGCTTCGCCCACACCAAACGCATCATCTTTGAGAAGTCTTCGATGAAGCTAAAAGCCATTTCATTTATTATATATGTATTTTTGTTTGATTTCAATATGTTACATATTTTAAAATATTTATCACAAACACACAGATACACATTTTATGCAGTGGATCAGTAAGTTCATAATTTGTTTACTTTAAAAATAAAGTTTTATTTAGAATTTAGAATTTGTGTAAGATTTATATTTTAAATCCAAAATTATGTCTATTAAATATAATTATAGATATTTTATATTAATTGAATCTTATATTAATGTTTAATAAATTAAATTTAATAAATTAAATTTTATCAATTACAAAGATTGATTAGTTAATTTTAGCTAAATTTACCATCAATTCAATGGCGCCGTCCTGCAAGCTACTTCCTCCCTGGGCACGATCATTCAGAACACTTAATTTAAATTGTTTCTCCTCGTCTTTAATTGCGATTTTACTAGTCACCGGATAATAATTTCCAGATATTGGTTCTTTCAATTCTAAATCCCATGTTGGCCGATAATTTCTTATACGCTTTAACATCTCTCTTCCATTAGTATCTGTATAAAATACGTTGTCTGTTTTTAAATTGCTTGAATATCTCGTAATAATTTCTTTGCCAATTTTATCTCTGAAATAAGATAATATAAGATTTTATAATCAACCCTTCAACATTTATTCATGCAAAATATATTTCTTTTTTAAATAGGATTTATATATAAAAATATGATAAGGAAAATGTATAATTCAAGCTATATGATTATAACATTTAATTTAATATTAGCATTTAATATTATATATGAAAATTATATAGAAAAAATTATGATATATTAGGAAAGCAAATTAATTTAAATTTTATGAGATCTGAGAGAAAAATTCACGGATATAATATAAATTAAATATAAATTAAGTATATAACAACAATAGAAATTAATAATACTTGATAGGTATCGGTCCAATGACCCAATCGAATTCAATGTGTTCTTCTCCTTGATAAATTCGAATTACTTGACTGACCCATTCGTTTATTATGTGATGGAGTTCTTGTACGATAGGACCTGTGAGAAAAAATTTTAAATAATATGAAATAATACATTTAATGAAAAGTGCATTTTTAATATAAATGAATTCTATATGTCATACCTTTATAAATTTTGTACGATCCGGTGTATGCAAAATTTTTGGCTGATGTTTCTTTAGGTCTGAAGATATACGCGCCGGATGATCTATTTTCGAAGACCTCATTATTACCTTCCGCTCCTTCGTAGAAATGGAAAGACTGTACGAGGTTCATGTCTTTTTCTTTGTTCCAGTGTACCATTAAATTACCGTCTTTATTGACTGATATATTATACAACTGAAATTTGAACGAAAAATAAATTCTATCTTATGCGAATTAGTTTCGAAAAATAATTCTATTATTATTCTTATATTTTTCTTTCTCAAGATTAACTTTGCACCTTCAGGAAAAACAACTGACTTGATTCTGGAACCAATTAATATAATAAATATATGTCTATTTAAATATATGTCTATTTATCATAGTATATAATGTTTATTCTAATTTTTTCTACCATAAAATATTTATTTAGACACACTTATCAATTGTGTGATTATCAATATTATGTAATTATGTTAGAATAATTTTTATCAGAGACTTAATATATTTTAACTGTGTTATTATACACACCCACACACACACCTATCATATTAACCAGTTCAAATCATTAAATTAATCAGTTCACTAAAGCATTTAGTAAAGCAAATTTTGAAAGCAATTTTAAATTTATATTTTGATTTTGAATTTACTATTTTGATTGATATTTAATGGTTTACACACACAAATTTATATATTTATATGTATTTATTTACCTCGTTATTTATGAATTCTGTTGGTTCAGGTTTTATTATTTTTTCCTGCGATTCTTTATTAACACTATAAAAGCGCAGACCGAAGGCAGGAATATCTGTCGCATGGAAAACAATTTCATTTACTGCATTGCTCAGTCTTCCTGGGATCTTTTGTACGCTTTCGGGAATCGGAACTATCTGCGAGGCCAAAGATCTTCCTCCTGTTCAATTCCACAAAAGTTATATAAAAAATGTGCAAAAGTTATTAATAAAAATATTATTATTTTTACATATATTCTTTTATATACTTTTATATTCTTTACATATAGTTTATTAATTTTATATATTTTTAAACAATTTATCTATTATTAAAAATAATCTTTTATAAAAGATTACCATAAAATCATTAATCTATTTTATTTATCTTTCAGAACATACTATTAATTTTTCATATATATAACTGCTTTCTCATTTATCTAAATAATATAATTAATAAAACATTATACAAAATTAAATTATAAATTATTGAAAATAAAAATGAAATCTACTTTTTATATTGAGGTGAAAAAAATATTTTATATATTTTGTGATTATATTAATATGCAAATATATGTAATTCATAATTATATGTATTAATATCATTTTGAAGTATTTCTCAACATTTTACATACCGTCGCTCAATGATGTAACTACATAAGAATTTCCATTAACGGGAAGACGAATATAAGTAGAGACAGGCCTGCTCAGGGGGTTGTACACCACTACTACTATGAGCGTGTCATTTTTTTCGGAAAATGCACACGAGCTAATATTTAGATCCAAACATGTGTAAGTCTTGAAGGATGGTTGCAATATATTTGTCATTCCTGACCATTTTCTGTTTCACGAATATTAACAAAATTAACTTTCATATGAGGTATATATATATATATATATATATATATATATATATATATATTTGTCTGGCGATTTTGAAAAATGTCAAATAAATAAAAAAATTAAAAAAAAATTAAATTTTGTTTTTCTGACTTCAGATTTAGATTCAGCGGGTCAAATTACATTAAAAATGACTTTTGTAATTTCATCTGTAAGAAAATAATAAAGATTTGAACACGAAAATAGGTATCATTTTTTATTTAATTGACAAAACCAAGGTCATTATTTGACATTTTTCAAAATTGCCAGAGGCATAAAAACTAGATGTTTCAAACTAAATTTTGATACCTTAGAAGTTAAATTTATTTCAATAGAATTTTGGGCGGGGGGGTGGCTGATTTGACGTGGAATGACCCATATATATATATATATATATATATATATATATATATATATATATATGCGTATGTGTGTGTTTATATGTGTACATAATATTGTATATAATGCATCTAAAAATTCATCATTCGTTTAATTAAAATTACGACAAGAATAAGATTTCCTTTACTTACCCTATGGCCTCCGAAATTATTTCTTCGCCGTGAGATATACTCTCATACAATAAACGCGCATAATCATCCGCGACGAATTGCTTCTCAGTGCCGGTAACGGCATCGTGATGCTGCATCACTCCCATCGCTTCACGAAAATGTTCCAATTTCTCATCGTGATTCTTCAAGTTTGTCAGAGTGATGAGTTGTTTGCTTGCCTAGAAACAAATAATCTGTCTTGCAAACGCAGCCCATAAAGATAGAGTCTGAATATTGGATCGAATTACAATTCTGATTATTTTACCTGCAAAAAATTATTTCCCATACGCTCAAAGTACTTCGAGGTTGGTCTCGATGAAAAGTACCCAGTCCAGTAAGAGTGAGGATCACTCGCATACGGAAAGAAATCATCATTCTTAGTAGGCCATTGAAGTTTTTTATCATTCACGGCTTTTAAGTAGCATGAGGGTGTCGAATAAATCACATTGACTGCGGAACCATTACGCTGATTTGTGTATCTGAAAAAGTTATACAAAAATGTAAATTATATGTAAATTATATGTTGATATAATCGGGATATTATTTTTATTATTTTTATTTATGCAATGATAATAATTGCAATTGTATTCTCTCGTAAATTTTCTATCAAAAGTCTAGTATCAACAAACAAAACTGAAATTACAAATCATTAATATGGTTGATTTAATAAATTGACGAAGAAAACAAAATTTAGATTGTGATATTAAGAGGGCGATAATATAATTTTATTTATGAGAGAATATTATTTATGAAGATATAATTTTATCTTTTATTTAAATTCTCATAAATTTTATTAATCATTTAGAATTAGGAATGTCTATAAGATAATATAAAAAAATTGATTAAGATTGAAATTTTTATACTATGAGGAATTTTTCAAAAAATTTCACAGTACTGTCTGAGAGTTAAAATTAAATGTCTGTTTAAGCTTTACAGAAAACATTAATAAAAAGATTTTTCATATCTCACCTGTTACATGATGAATTTTTTTAACTTCAGGAGGGATTTCTACTGATCCCATATTTTGATATTTATTATATTCTTTTTCAGTTATAAATTGCTACATATATTTCTATAGAAACTTTAATTATAAAAAAGATTTAATTTTAATAATAAATTCTAGTTATAAACGATATTATTTTTCCCATTTAATCCCTCAATGCATAACTATAAATTTACTTGATTCAAAAATGATTATAATAAAATCTATGCTCGATAAAGATGTGTTCTCAGAAATCAAAATCAATCTTTGTAAATTAATCGCGACTTACTTAATCAGCTTGTCCAAGTTATCGAACCACATATCAGCCTGTTGGTAGTTAAAATCATCCCCCATAGTAAGGATAATATGATTAGTTTTATAGGCACGTGCTTGAGTATGTGCATACGTCAGGAATAGGTCCACCTGCCAATAGCACATAAATTTTACTTACCGTGAAGACGATGTTTCACACTCGCGGAGTCATATAAAAATCCTTTCGTTTCTCCCTATTATTATATCGTCCTTGCGAAGCAATAATACTTTTTTATGCGAGTTTGCAAACGTCACATTTCGAAAAGACTTATACGAATTATGTATATATAAAAATTATAAATTTTTATCATTAATACCTTATCAGCTTATCCAGATTCATGAAGTACATTTCCGCGTGCTGATAAGTGAAATCTCCTCCCATCGTCAATATGATATGATTCGTTCGGTAATAATTAGCTTGCGTAACCGCGTATTTCAGAAAATCATCGATCTGGCACAAAAACATATCGCGTAGATTATGATTCTCCTACAGAGCGAATGTCCTGAACTACCCTTTAAAAATCGTCATTATTAACTCCTATTAGTTAACAATTACGATTTTTGAAAATCTTTATATATATTGTTTCTAATTTTTACTACCAAGAAAATCTCGTCAAACGAAAAATTCTGATTTTAATAAACTTTGCTCTTGAACTAAATGATATAATGAACAAATTTTAAAATATACAGTGACAAAAAAAATATTACAGATGTTGTTAGAAAGATTTTGAAAATTAATAATAATCGCTTCTTTCGGACAAATAGAATGGAATCGCACTTTTTTCTTGTAAATGCTTATTGTTAAAGTTTTATTACTAAAATCAAATTTTTATCAAGTTGTAAATTAATATTTTTTACTATGTATTTATATCATTATCTTTTTGTGAATAACATTATTTTTTTAGAAATTATTATATTAGTTATCGAGAATTAATTGTCGTAAAGCATCGTGTTAGCCTTATTATCATTAATGTTTAAAGCAACTTCATTAGTTTATCGTTAGGGATATTGATAACTACCATTATTACATACCCTTTTCTCGATGTTATAATCCGGGCTATCGGGGTCATCGATCATTGGTTCGTCAGCGCATAGAACATCGAAGCAAAATCCTGGTGGGGGGCTGTAAGTGTTGTACATTGCGGTCGTAAACAGATTCGCTCGTTTGCCTGAAAACAATAGTATATTTTAATTATATATTATGTATATTATAATTTTACGCAAAATTTAAATTCAATTTTTTCTGAACGAAAGTGTCGAGAAAAATCATCGTTTATTTTTATACATGTATATATTTCTTTGTAAGCCTTACAATTAAATTACGATTCAATTGAGAAATTTTGTGCAAAATTATTTGATTACAATATTTTACTATTGAATTATTAAGATAATACTTCGTTTTTTTATTAAGCCAATATTAATGTCATTTATTTATCAAAATTTTATTTTTAAAGTTTCTATTTTACCTAAACTCGGACTGCTTTTCCAAATAAATTCCATCGACTGATCATTCAGTCTTTTGCTCTTATCCTGATAATCAATGCGACCGAATAACATCCCATCGAATCCCATTTGCGCAAAGAGAGAAGCCTGTTCTCTGGAATGGCCAAACGGATCTATCTGCCATCCTATATGCGGCCTAGCACAGCTTCCGAACGTGTCATTGAGTCGCCTAGAAAAAAATAATTAGGCACTTATTTTAATACATTAATAATAACTCTACATAAGATAAAATATATCTATGTAGAAGACAAAAATATACATTATGTAAATACTACATCAATTAATTAGAAATGAAAATTTAATAAAAGTAAATTAAATAATTATTAAATTAAAATTAAAATTAAAATTTTATATAATGAATATTAATATATTCATATTGATGCGTTTTATAAATCATATACATATATTGACAAGCGAGAAAAATATTAATACACATGTGGTTTAGTGATAAAAATATAGTTTCAAGAGGAAGAGTCGAATTCGATTTAATCATTTACATTCAGAATCTGTCTCATTCATGTCATAATCCAAAACACACCTGAATCCCCATGTGAATTGATCGACTAACGAATGATAATGAGTACAAGCCTCATCGTTCATGCTCCATGCTCCTCCGATAATTTCCAATCGTCCTTCGTTGATCAACATCTTGACATCGGCTCGTACTTTTTCGTTTTGACGTAACCACCATTTCCAGAGATAAAAGGTCTCCACGTAAATAAATCTGCAGACATAATTGAAATTTATATCTTCTTTGAAATATTTTTAATAAGATGAGGAAAAAATTCTCGTAAAAATATTGCAAATGTTATAAATATCTTATCGTAGAAATAACAGGTCTGATAATATGATTATCTATGTCATACTTATCTATAATTAACATGTATCGGATATTACGTGAATTTTATCGCGTTAAAATTTATACTTTTATCAAAGATATTATTTAAGATAATTTTACCTTCTGTTAGGATCAGCCAGCAAAGCCTTAATAACGCTATCAAGAATATATTGCACGCCGGCCTTTTGAATCGTAGACCGACCTTAAAGAATAGAAAAATTATTAGTTTTAATCACGTTCGAAAATATAGATAAAAATTTATTTTTATATTATTCACATTTTCTCGTTCCAATTTTTATTATTTACTCACTTCCAAAGTAATACTGATCCACAGTTTTTAGCCAACCGACATCGTCATGAGTATGTGAGACTATATGAATATTAAGTTTAGTTGGATCCACGGCATGACACGCCTGAGATTGATAAAATATATGTTTAGTCTACATATGTATTTATAATTGCTAAAAATTTTAAATAAACATTATACAAGTATTATTAATATACAAGTATTATTATTTCTATCATTCGAATATGTATAATTTTTTTTCTGAAAACAGAATATTTTAATAATTTTTAAAAATTTAATTTGTTTTATTGCTATTTTTATTTGCAATTTTCATTACTCTAATCATCAATCCATTATACACGAAAGGCTTGTGTATTTGCCATTTATTAAGTAATTTAATTCAATTTTTCAGAACTTGAAAAAGATAAAATATCTATAATTTTTCTAATCTAAAATTAATATTTTGAAATTCTCATTAAAATGAATTAGATTATTATTCCACTTTAATATCAAGGCTTCTATTTATATTGTACTTTGTTACAATAAACAAGGACATATTGTGATTCTACTAAAAATATAGAATTTTAAAAATAAAATTGATTGCGTATGGATTTGTTAATTTCCTCAAATTTTTGTTTCATTAATTATGACAGCATTTAAATCATACAATTTATCATACAATTTATATAAACAAATAATTATAAATATTTTTGTAAGCATTAATTAGCGATAACTCATGGTCGTAGAATAGTAGACATTAATGCAAAATCGGCATGAATCCTTGAAAGTAAAATTATGATTCATATCGCATGTTCCTCGTTGTTTCAATTAGCAGAATTAATTTGCTTGTACCTTGTAGCCGCAATTCTCGGTGACCGTCGGTTCTAATGTGGCTCGTGGTGCCGCATCGACAAAATGTTGTGCGAACAGAAGCGACAGAAGTAGAAGCGGTAATTCGTACCACAACATAGCTGAAGTCCTTCCTCTGCAACGTACGTAACTAACTAATGAGATAACTGATGCTGCTGCTTTATATTATACCGTTGACTAAACGTATGTCATTGCGATAGTACGCCGTGACGGATAAAGGCAGAGATACAGACTGATGAGTATGAATACAAAGGCGTAAACATCTCCAAGTTCTATTTCTTTTAAAGCATGAAGGAAAGTTCTCTTTCTTTTTAGAAATATCACTGCGTGTTTATGTTGTGTGCAAAATTTCTGTAATATTTATAATAAGGATTTGTGAAGAAATCCATAACTATTCAGACACTAAAGAAAATTAAAAAATATCTTAAATAACAATGTCTAAAAAATGATAAAACGATAAAACTTTCTAAAATTTTTTAAGAATATGTGTTATCTTCCTCAGTCGGAAATACATAATTGATTGATTATCAGTATTAAATCAATATTAAATTTCAATATTAAATCAAGCAATTAATTATATTGTTTCGCGAAAGTCATTTTAGATTGTCTTGTTTAGAAAAATTAAATCACGACAAAATTAAAGATAAAATTTTATTAATTTTATTAAATAGAAAACTTAAAGAATAATCATATAAGAAATAACACTTGTATTTTATAAGTTGCATAAAAAATGAACAGAATTTTTAAATTATATATTATGTAAAAAATTTTATAAATTTAGAAAGAAAGATTATTTTAGATATAACTGTATTATCAATGAGAAAATATTGCTAATATATTATAAATGTGCAAAAAATTATACAAAAGTGAAAATAAATATAATTTATTTTCTTTGAAAAAAATAAAACATAAATATATTAAAATATTTATATAAAATTTAAATATAAATACAATAGTAACAGTAATACATTTTTTTACATCTCTCTAGCTAATCAGAAATTGAAATAAAAGTTAAATATATTACGTACCAAAAATAAAAAAATTTAATATTATGTATTTATTGTAGTTATTATCAGAGGAAGTTGAAAAACATATGTTTGAAACATACAATTCTGTGATAATTGATATCAAGTAATATAAAGTACAGGATAAGACAAATTGGAGAATTTAAGGGGAAATCTACATTCAGAAGTGGATGAGGAGAGATTGTTGAAGAAGAAGAAGAATTCATTCCATTTTTTTGTTTAAAGTAAAATAATACCAAATTGCTCTTCCTAATATTTAATATTATTTATTTTTAATATTTTTTATTTCTATTGTATCTAAGAATATTTGTCAGCGCATCGATTTTTGTGAAAATTATATTATGTAGATAAATATTTTTAATATCCAAAATTAAATTAAATTTTATTATTATAATTTTTATCGGTCATAAATTTATATCATATTCATTATCTATAGATAATAATAAAAAAATCACTTACACACAATCAATTTAGATAATTTTAGATATCACGAACATTTAAAAATAATAAGATATTGTAAAATTTCGACCTTTAATTCGACTCAATCGCTCAAGTAGTCGCTCAAGTCGAATTAACAGTGAGCTCTCAACTCAGAGCTTAAATGTCGAATCAACGTTTAATTAATGTTATATTTCTGCCTGGGTCTGAGTAGGCCCTCTGTAGGATATATATGTGTATGTCCTGCTAATTGTTCCTTGTTAATTTGTCACTGAAAAATATCTAAAACTAATAGACATTTATATATCTACATATATAGAACTTATATATGTATATATGATTTGATTTTATTAAACCTTATCTAATTTTTCTATATCATAGGTTTTATGTCAAAGAACAATCTTATAATTTTATAATTTTCTTTTATTTTATTTGTATCATTATTTTTTTGAGAATATGACAAATTAATAAATATGACACATGTAAAATGTGTGTGTATGAGATAAGATATATTGTATAAAACTACTAAAAAATAAAAAAATAAATTGTTATTTATAATAGTTATTTATCTCGCAAAATGTAAAAATATATTTTTTTATAATATAAGTAAAAATATATTTTTTAATAATATAAGTAATATAAATAATATAAATCTAAAATAAAAAATTCTCAAGTTAAAAATAATTTTAAAAATATAATTTACTTAGCAGCATATATTTTATATCATCGATTATTGTGATATAAATATGAATAAGTAACATATTATTATATGAGTAATTGCTAATGACGGTATCAATAATATAAAATATAATAAGATCTATTTATCAATTTTTTTCTAATTGCTTTGGAATAATAAAAAAGTTGTTTTTAACAAAAAATGAGAACAAGATGAAATTTATAAAAAATTAATGATATTTGAGTGATATCTTGTTTATGTTTGAAAAGATAATTATCAATAGATTGGATTGTTAGCGTATTATTGATAGATATTTATCGTTTTCAATAGTTTAATCTGGAAAAATTAACTTGTTTTGAAATTGTTATATTGCAATGTGTTGTTTTTTACAAGAAACAATACGCATGCAGATAATTCCATAAATAATATTTATATTGATAAATACACATTAATGATAAATATACATGAATACGTAAAAGTGCAGATAATAAAATCGATCTCATCTTCCTTAAAAAAATCTTCGATCTTTCTATTAATAATTAATTAATATAAGAAATTTTATGCTGTAATAGGTATTATTATAAAAAGCGGTATGGATAGACTAATAGTGCGAAAATTATGAAATGATTGAATAAAATTGCAAAATCAAGAGGCAATTAATTGTGAAATATATCACATTCTGAAATCGACATATAAATTTAATTATTGTCTATAATATTTCTGAACGCTTATTGTCATCGCTATCAAGAAAATAGATTAAATCTTATCTATCTAAAATCTGAAAGTGTATGTAAAGATAAGGTATAAAGATTGTAGACTAATCACGGTGATAATTAGGAAAACAACATATATTTATTTGCATAATATAATAAAGTAAAATGCAATAAAATGTAACACTGTCAAAACATAAACAACACTAAATATTTTCGTGAGGGATAGAAGTGGTAGAGATATACCAAACAAAACGAAATTCCAAACATGTCGTGCTTTGAGTGATCAGGGCAGATCACTGATTTAAGTTATGATGCTGATGGCGAATGAATGCAACAGTGCGAAAAACACATTCCGATAATTCTCAAAGGAAGACTTGCGATCTTTCAATTCCTAGAAAAAAAATTTGTTTAATTTAATAAAAATTTATTTAATTGAAAAATATTAAAATCTTGCTTACTTTAGGTTAATTACTTAATTATTAATAACATTAAAATATGTAGTACAATACTATGGAAAAAAAGTTAAATTAATAAATATATAATCATTGTGTTTAAAGAAATAAAAGTTTACATGCTACCATTACATAAATACAAATTTTTATTTTTTTATCTTATGAATTAATTCATTGTTGCATAAACATATATATATGTGTGTGTATATGCAACATATATATATATATATATATATATATATATATATATATAGATAGATAAAAATCTGATAATATATATGAAAAAAATTAATTCCTTCTAAAAGATAAATTTATGACGTACTGATGTGTAAAAGGATTACGTACTGATGTGTAAAAGGATTTTAATTACAAGATTTAAAATGGTACTCCTAAAAATCAGAGTACATAATCTCCTGTGGTTTTTCGAATTTAATAGGCCGATAGAATGTGAGTGATTGATTCCATCCACGCGGTGCCGTATTATAATTCGTCAGATTATGAAGGCTGGTCAATTTCGGTCCAGTATAATTGTCATTTTCGTATAGTTTGTTTCCTGGAAATTGAAAAACAATATAAATCTGTGTGGATATAAATATCATAAAGAAATAATTGAGTATTAATAATAGTAATTAAAATCGATATAATTTTGAGAATACAACTTTCAATCAGTGACGAGAACAAAAAATAAATCTTATGTTAATAATTGCGTTTTCGTAATAATATAAATATAAATATATAAATATATTGATAAATATACTGATAAATATAAATATATAAATATATAAATATAAATATATAAATATATGAAAATCCATATCTCCCTAATAAAATTATATCGATCTCACTCTTTAAACTATAAGAAAAAAACTCATATTAACGTTTTATATAAATCAGAAAAAAATAATTCTTATTATTTTATACAAAAAATTATATTTTAAAAATTATTTTAAAAATTATCCTTGTATTTTTTTATATAATTTTGTATCTTCTTAATACATGAGAGATTTCATATTTCTTTACATAATTTAGCAATATGAATAGTCTTAATTAAAATTTTCTATCTATTGTAAAAGTAATGTCGATACAAGACTGTTATAAATCATTTTGCATGTTTAACAGCAATAGCAATAACATCAGAATTATGAAAGCGCATGCGTGTTAACTTGCCTAATTCTGGGTTAACATCACTGAGTTTGCAGTCTGGAGTAGCGGTGCCTAAGAGATTATCCAAGACTGGCGTACTACGCAGATGTTTCTTGGTCTCGAGTATATTTTCTTGCGAAGTGACCATCGATAGCATCAGCGATTTTGCTTCGGGTGGTATGTCAACCTCAGTGTTAACGAATCTTGCCTCGGTGCCGTTGGCATAAAGAGTTTCCAACTCCTGCGAGACAATCGAGTGACGCCGAGTATCTGAATATTCGTCCTCGAATGCGAATGAGTACTCGCTGCTGTCGCAGCAATTTAACAAAGTGGATGGCGCGGAATGATTGCAATCGATAGATCTAGTTGCGTTCGGATAGTCGTTGATCTCTTCCTCGGAATCAGTGTCATCCGTCGTGTATTCGCTCTCGTCGATGGAAACGTAGCCGTTGCAGCGAGACTGGAGTTTCGCTGATCCTTCGTAATTCTCGTGTGCACAACATAATTGCTCGTTGCATTGAGATTGCAGCTTCCTCTCGTAATTTCCACGCGTATCATATAATCGACTGTTATATCGGGATTTTAGTTGGGCAGATCCTTCGTAGTTTTCGCGTGTGCTGTGCAATTTATTATTGAGATAGTTTCTAGATAGATTTGAGATTTTTTCGCATTTAATTTTTAGACTTCATTTGAATGCACGTAATATAATGTGAATAGTATCTATTAGATTTATGATTAAATTAAAAATATATATATTGCTAAAAAAAATATTATAATACTATAATGTTGCTCGAACAAATCAAGTTTCCTTGAGAAGTTTTCAAAATATATTAATTATAAGTCATTTAAATAATTTTGTTGATTGCAAAAAGATCGAATGTTATATCGATATTAAAAAATAAAATATCACAAATATAAATTATTTAAATTACTCGAAGAATCCTTAAATTCTCACCGTGTATATTCCTCTTCTCCATTATTATACTTGGTAGGATTTCTCGTCTCGAAAAAACGCGCAATGTCATTGTCTAATGGACACTGTTGTACGATTGGAATGATCTTCGGACTGATTTGCTTGTACTGCAGAATCGGTCTACAGGTCTTCTCAAATTCTTGTATTAGTTGCTTTACTGGTACAGGTGTGTACTCGTTTTCTTCATTATCATTCTGCATCTGACTTTGTTGCTTATTTCCAATTTTATTGGCGATCACGTTATCGTCGTACTTGTTACTGAAACGTTGTTGAATTCCCATGTCTTTGTTATTATTGCTCTGCACGTTGCAAAAATTGGATTTCCTTGATGACTGATAATTGTTAATATATCTGTTATTATTATTGGCGACAGTGCGATAATTGATGATATTAGAGCGTCGATCGTTAGTAGGTTCGTAAGCGATACGATGTGATTTCTCAACAATGGATGATCGAGATTGGTCCAGAGGGAAATCAGAGTCTGTGCCGACTGCAATTTCTCGCAGATAAATCTTTTTTACCTCGCTCGAATGACCGCATCGGTTAGTATTACAGCGCGATTGATGCCTGTCTGCAATTCGCAAATTAAACTTGAAGCAGCAAAACATGGTGATTAGAAAAAACTCTGCTGTGAGATCTTGTACGAGCAGCATCTTTTCAAAGGATTAAAAAAATTACATATTTGAAGCATCACACACAAGAGGATAAAAACAAAAAATATATTAATAATTATTAATTAAAATGTATATATAAAAATAGAAAGAACTAATGTTTAAATAATTGTAAAAATAAAAATAAATATTTTTATTTTTATTATTAAATATTAGTTTACATATGTCTCTGCTTACTTTTTTTGTATATATATATATATACATATAATATCTTCACAGAATATGCAATATTTCAGATTTATACATCTGCTTTTTCTTAAAAATATTATGATATGTCCAATTTAGTATGAAATGAATGTTTTCAAATTATGTTATCAGGAAATCTTTTTAATAATATCTTTAATAATCTTGTATGCTTATCAATATGAGCTCTTTAATGTATTAGTTTATCGCGAGATTTAATGTTTACTTTAAAATGTTTACTTAATCTATAATGAATCAGTTATTATAAAAAAAGTAATTGGCATCAAAAGATATAAAGTTATTATTTATTTTAGATATGCCGTTAAGGTATTCACTTTCGCTGATTAAATAACATCGATAACGCTTGCCAATTAGAACATCAAAGCTCGTTCAACTTAAGTTTCAAAACCGGCTCATCCAAACATTGATCTCTATTTCGGAAACGTGTCAAGTATCTTTGACATTCTAGAACACTTTCCTGTTGACGTACGTCCGATGGAAAAAAGAAAGCGAATTTCTTTTAAAAAATTTTATATTTAATTAATACAAAATTGCATGATTGTTTTTTCTCTTTTTAAAATTATTTATAATTATTTTATAATATAAATATTAATATAAATTATATTATTATATGAATATTAATTATATTCTGTAACAAATATATTTTTATTTTATATTATATGCAGTCTTTTGAAAAACAATAAAAAGAGTTCAAGATCAAATGTAAAGTAAGTTGTATAATAAAAGAGATATTAAAATTCTTTATGAAAGATGTCAGATTAATTGAAAATTTCAATACATAATTGCATTCTAAATAATTTCAATACATAATTGCATTCTAAATAATTGTGCCTCGGAATATCTCCATTATATTTTCAATGGAAGATTTATGAAATAACATTGTTCGAGAAAATAAACGTTGACTATATTATATTAATGTCAAAACATGGAATGTAATACTATTAAATTCTGAATTGGAATTTAAAAAAACCTTGGCGACATTGATAAGGGCTCGTAATATAAAAATGTGATGAATAAAATAGAAAAATCGATTTCGAGCGCGATTAAATTAGCCAAACGAGAGATCATCTTGCATTATTATTTTGTTGATTTCACTACGTTTATATTAGTACGTACCTGTTATCGGTATATTCGCGTTCTCAACGGAAATGTCCACTGTAAAGGGATTATAAAATGATTTATCAGTGTTCGAGATCGGCGTATGAGGTGTCAACGATGGTGGCGTCACGAATTTCGCGTTACCGTTAATTTCCTGGAATCATACAAGTATCTTTATTAGAAAAATAAAACTGTTAATTTTCTGAAATTACAACTTTTTAAACCTTTTTTTTATAAGACAAAACATAAATTATCTTTTTAATCACAGTAAAATTATTTCTAATCCTTTAAAAATTAATAAAAAATAAAAAGGATTAAAGTTATATGCGCACGCAGAGATAATTTTGCGTAACTTACTAATTCTTCTGAGTACGTTGGCGTTTTCGGTGTGATAGGAGTATTGGGCGTCTGCGGCTGTTCTTGATCCACCACCCATTTTTCCGATCTTTTCCTACGTTTCGCAAATATCTCAGCACCTGCGAATTGTTTTGGCAACGTCATACATGTAGTAGTAATGCGTATATTTAGAATTGGAAATATCATATCTTTTCCAACAAAAGATTGCATACACATGCATATTGTTATTCTCATATATATTGTTTTATTATAGATATTAAAATTTAATAAAAACTGATAAAATTATATTATAGATATTAAAATTAAATAAATATAAAAAGATTAAAATTTAAACATATACATGTATATGTATATATAATGTTTAATGTTATGTAATATTATGTAATATTATGTAATATTAATTCTACTCCATAGCTTGTGTGTCCCTTAAATTATATACGGAACTTACCGCGTCCTCTTTGATTATTCAAATCGCGAACAATATCGAAGAGTTTCTCAGGATTTTTTGGTACCGATGCAATATTGACCTCTTCACCTAATGCCTGAATACCCTGAATGTCTAGCACTTTTCCGCATGGATTCATCACGCATTTGAGAGGTAGCTTGTCCTGTTTAGAGAGAAATTTTACTCAATCGTGTGTGGAGACATAATCTCATCGCAAAAGATTTAAAGATATACATAAGATACATGATATATATTATTGTATATTCTTTACCTTATGAACAGTTGTAATAGATTCTTCTTCGTCTTCGACACCTGCAAAATACTATCTATTATGAACATATTGTATTGTATAAAGTGAAGAAAAAAATGAGAAGATGATTAATATATATTAATTAATTTTTTACTTGTTTTTTTTAATAAAATAAGCAGATGGACAAATATTAATGTAAACAATCACATTACCAAATTTTTTAACCGTTTATTAACGATAACGATAGACAAGAATATAAAATAATAGATCTAAACTTAAACGTAATATCTAAAAAAGAATCGATACATATATCAAAAATAGATGTATTATTTAATTATTCATTAATTATAAATTATTAGAATTTATAAAATTAATCGATTTAATTATTATAACAGTAAATTTTAATGAATTATTATCAGTGAAATTTGATAATTTCGTATAACATCAACATTAAATTGATCATAAACGCATGATGAGAATATGATAAACAATGTTTTTAATTGTAGGAACAAATCATCAAGCAAATTTCGCGTTGCATACCATTTCCATCATGGATCCATTTGACAGACCGCTTTTTTCTATTCACATACATCGTTTGCCCTTTACTCTTGACATTTTTCACATCGCTGAGTGAATGCGAGATCCGACGTGCAAGTTCAACCTGATCCTCGACCGTAGGATGTGTCGGTGCGTAAAAGTACGAGGATGCAAACATTTTTTCTAAAAATTAATTTTTTACTTTTTTCTTAAAATTTTAACGGACCCAACTTTTTCTTTTGAAAGAAAAAGTAAGATCTCATAAATCATATTTTTCAACATATAAATTGATTGATATTTTTGTCGTCCAGAGAAGATTCCTTTTAAAATATATTCTTTTATATTATACATTTTATATTTTATTATATTTTTTTACTATTATATAATTCTATCGATAAGAGAACCTACTATTTTTTGATTGCAGTAGCTCATGAGAGTCCGATGCCGGAGTAAGTAACTTTTGCAAGTTAAACGGGGTAGTCTCACTCCCTTCCTGTAGTTAAGAAATAATCAAATTTTTTCTTTCAAATTTATATCGGTCAAACAAAATCAATAATGTTATATTTTAGAAATATATTATCCTTTCTTCCTTATCTCTGAATTTTCTGAGCAATCTTCATTTAATTATCTTTTAATAAAATTGCTAAGGATTCGACAACTTCTTTAATTATATTTAATTATCAATAAAATATATTTTCATAATAAAAATTTTCTCTTTAAAAATAAAAATTTTAAAATTTAATTTAACATAAGTTTAAGTTCAAAGTTTATCGAATATCTAATGTTAAAAAAAGTTACAGAAGTATAAATGTCTAATCAAATTAATTAAAGAAATATCGACTAAAAATTCCTACTTATTTACATAAATGAAAGAGTTAGCTTATTATTGTACGTGATAATTCTAGAATTCACATGTATGAAAACAATGATGTAAAATTAAATTTTAAGATACATTGAGAATTTAATGTTTTTTTCTTTTTACAAAACTTCAAAAGAATGAAGTAAAATTAAACTTTAAGATACACTGAGAATTTAATATATTTTTTCTCTTTTTACAAAACTTCAAAAACATCAAATATTTTGCTATTTAATGCTCACCATGCCGAAGTGCAATATTCTTGAAGTGAGATTCTCAAGGAAGTTTCTTTTGACTGGATCGTGTCTGTCGGATGGTTTGTAACCGCGCGAACGAATTACAACATTGTCCGCGGATACACTACGTTGCAAATAATTCTCCTGCAAGGAAGCTCCACTGTATTTCACGCTGCACTTGTACTCGGCATCCTTGGTACAGGTGAAGCCGTACGACGTGTTGCTCAGAATGTTGCGCTTGGCGTTAACGTGTCTGCGGACATTCGAAACGTTCGCAACGCGATACGGATCCTCCATTTACGCAAACTCTACGAGATTCCGCGATGATCGTACAAATGTTGAGAATTAAAGCCATACAAATATAATAATTTTGTAATTATTATAAAAAATAACAATACCTTTTTGCAAAGATTATTTTGGATAAAAAATATTCTAAACATATAATTCTATTCTGAGTAAAAAAATCTTTCGATTACATCATAATTTTAGGTTCATTTAAAAAATATTCGCTGAAAATTTCTTAAGTCTTAATATTTAAATAGAATTGAAAGGAAAAACAGAATGATTTAATCTAAATATTGCTTATTTAATGCATATTAATTTGATGATATTTATTCGAAATTTATTATTGAAATTTATGAAGAATTAATTTTCTTTGCATTAATTATTCCATTTTAATCGACAATAACATTAACGTTAATCTAACAATTATTACCAATAATATTGGTTACATTATTATTGGCAACCGGTCTGAGGATCACGAAAGCAAAGTTTATAAAACATATTTAAAAAAACAAAATAAATAAAATAAAACATATATTTTATATTTTCATATTTTGATGGAAAATAAATTAATATTAATTAAGAAATATCTTAATGTTACTATTATATTAATTTAATTAAATTAATATAATAGTATTGAATTATGTATTGTATTATTTTAAATTATTAAATTATTATAATTGATTTAAATAAAAGAGAATGTTACTTGTAAAATGGTGAATGGCAGAATTTTCGAAACAAAATGTGACGCAGCTGTATCTCTCATGCATTCAATCCTATATAATCCTTTGAAAGTCTTTTTTATATTTTAATGCCTATTTGCGAGCGATATAATAGTTTAAATCCATAAAACATATGTTTAGCGTGCAAAAACGTGGCTGAAGTTCACCGACCTTGAGTTTTCAAGTTTTATTCAGATAACTGACTGATCGTACGAGATGTGCGAGAGAAAAACGCGAGATTCTGCCTCGGCCCGATGTGCCGTGGAACCTGGCAGAGCTTTTTCGACGACGAGAATTGGTTCCCTTCCAAGCGGCCAATTAATTCCGCGTCGCGGTATTGGCAGTGGTACAACGAGCCCTGTGTAAAAGAAACGCTAAATTTATCTGTTGTAACGTAATACGAAGTAACAGTTCGAGCGGTTATCCTGGCGATCAGCAACCATATTTATTCGATGTGTCGTACAGAAAAAATCGGCGCTACGTAATAATATAACGCTATATTCGATAGATGAAGAACTTATCTTGTTCCTTGATCCTCGAGAGAGTACAAATTATTACAAAGACACGACGTCTGTAATAATTATATTTAATAAACATGACGCAATTCTCTTTCTTCAGTTTCATAAATTGTTACATTAATTTAATATTTAAATTAAACGCGGATAATAAATATATAAATATTAGCTACATTTATATATTTATTTAACCGATTCTCTCTCAAATTTTTATATTAATATATCTACATTATTTATTTGTTTTTTTCTTTCTTTCAATTGCATTAATTCGTATTAGGAAAAGTAATATGACGCGGTTCAATTCTAGCTACGCAATGGAATCGATACTTCGCTTTAAATAGATTGTTTGGTGAAGTTTGAGAGTTTCAAAGTCGGTCAAGCTGTTCGCGGCACTATAGGCTCTTTGGCAGATCAAGATTTCGAGTAAGTTTGATCAGATTTAAAAAAAAAGGGGACTGTCAATTTGAATCATTACTCTTATAGTTTTAATATGAAAGAAAAAAATAATCATTATTATATAAACATTTCCTATGCATTTCTTTAGAGATTCGTAAAGATTTTTTCTTTTCTTCATATTTCACACCACACATCATTATTAAACCCTCTTTGCGATTACATGATATTACATTTGATATATCGTTTATCAATCATGAAATAATAACACATTAGTAAACACGATTGATGTTTCTTATTTCATCTTCAAAAAAGATTCTTTCTCGCACACAAAACGATAAGGAGATTAAATAAAAAAAAAAGAGGAAAAAACCACACACAACTCAATAAAGAGCTCGCTTTCTTCCTCTTTCTCACGGTCCTATTTTTTTCAAATAGATAGAGATATTACAAACAGAGATTTTACTTATCAAACGATGATCTCCTCATCGCGACGTATACACACACACACAAGGAGAGGGTTAATCGTGTCCCTTCTTCGCCCACACTTTGTTTTCCTTCCTTGCTCGCGTTTTATTTTTCCTGTAGCTTTACGTAATGCGCGACACTTCGGCCAACACACTTTGCCGAAGGTGGTCCGCTTAAATCCACGACGAGGGCTCCCTCGCTACGAGAAGCGAATCTTGCATCTTGCAAAATATTCACTGGCACACTGATCATTTAAACACAAGAGGCAGTGGACCAGAAGTCATCACCACCGCCGCCACCGCGACTCTCAAGAGCCAACGGATTCATTGATAGAACAGAGAAGAAAAGCGAGAAAGAGAGATAGAAAGAGAAACAAAATTTATTTTTATATCGAGCAAACTGCAACGCGAATCATTGGATTTTCTACAGATATATTTCGCATCTCCAACAGAGACACTTTTGCCAGAGAAAATATATTGGCCGACAGGTGTGGTATTGATTCATTTATCGCTCGCTTCGCCTACATACGTGAATGGATATCTTCCGGAACGGATCGGTTGGCGAGAGAAGTGTCACTTCCGTGGTGGCGAAGGTTCGTGTCTCTTTACAGCTCTACACCGATGTTAGTATCGACAGTGTATACCTCGCGACTTCTCTCTTTGCTGCGAAGATCCGTCCGAGATGGTCGAGCTCGTCGGTCGGATTCGCACCTACATGCGATGAATTACAAATACACAGCCGGCACACACGATGCTTTATAATAGCGCCCAAACCGTCGCTATACAGCGCCTTCTTGTCGACTGGCTTGAGACGCCTTTCGGTAAAAATAGACCATCAGAAAGCGACACCTCAAGACTCGAGTCGAGCCAACGACGGTTGTCTGTTACGATACAACGTCGTTGCAGCGTACACGATAATGGATCAAATAGCATCATACATAAATGTTGTTATTGCTTTGCAATTACTACAAAATATTGAATTGTAAATGTTTTAAATACAATATTTATTTTTCGGATGTTTTCGAATTAATAATTATATGTTTTCTTTGCAATATTCGCCTCCGAGGATCAAAAATAAAATTAGAACAAAATCAGACAAGCATGCATAGATTATTTCAAAACTGCTATAATAATTATTAAATGTGAGATATTAGCAAGATAGAACAAGAAATTAAAAAAACTTATAATGCATTTAAGAATATAAACGAACACGTTATGCATTGTTTGTTTATACATACAATTATTAACTCGAAGTAATCTTACACCTACTTTTAATCCCAATCACTTATATCTTGAACAATATCTGTGTTTTCCTTCGGCAAATCATCATCGATATTACTAATTATCTTCTTCTTCTTCTTCTTTATGAGTTTTTTCGTCTTATTAGATGACATTTCTGTCTCCGGTTCAGTTTCCGTTCCTTTTATTCGAAATTCAAGTTCGCTCTCTTCTTCACTATCCTCTGTGTTCTGTTCATCAAGTGTCCGTTTCTTCAATTTTCTCACAACAGGTATGTTTAATTCTTCTTCGGTCTTATTGAGAAGTTTAAGTTGTTGTGATTCGTGAAATTTAATCCAAGAAGCATAGAATTTAGCTATTGCTGTGCCAGTTTTCATCCTATTTTCCCAATTTGTTATTTCCACTGTATTTTTTAAATCAATCGTTAGTTTAGCGCGCTCATTTTCAATGTATTTTCTATTTTCTTCGATCATAGTTAAAAGCTGTTTCATCTTTTTGCAATAAGCTGCCACATGGCATTTCTTTAGAAACGCCTTTAACTAAAAAGCAAAGAATACATCAATTTAATACTCTCTCGAATATCTACAATAAAAATTATATTCTTCAACTTTTTTGTTTTGTTTACGTACTTGTATTATGCAGGGTATACACATATCAGGGAAATATACTTTATAACTTTCATTTGCAGCATATTGCAGTATAAGTTGATAAATGGTTCCAATAACACTATCCTTGAAACCATTTTCCATCAATTGCGATTTAGACATCCTCAATATACAGATAAAAGGTATCGGTTTCATAGAAACTGTCTTATGCTTTTTATTAAAATCATAAGAATCTAAGATCTAAAGAGAAAAAATTAAATATATTTAAAATTTTTACATATTCTTATAGTCATAATTATTATTTAAGAATTTATAATAACGGATACCTCAAGAAGGAATGGCAAGATGGGTATAAAAGTTCCTGTCTCCTTGGAGATTGTTATTAACATATTTATACAATGGAATCGCAATGGATAATATTGTACAGTTGGACAGACTTTTATTGTTCCAATAATAATCTGTTAATAAATAATTATTTATAATATTAATGCACTGTTCTGAGAAATTTTTTATACTATTTTTATATTACTAATTTTATTATTTATTTAATACCTGGACTAATGGATACAATAAAGACCGTAATATTGAATTATTTTTCAACTTTGTTATTAATTCTGTCCAAAAGTGCAAAGAATTAATATACTGCCAGTTATATACAGCTTGAAAATTTTCCTAGAGAAAAATAATATTTTAAGTATTGATAATAAAATTTACAAAGTATACAATTATCTCTTTTAATGATTACCTTTTTCTTTAATGTTATAGCATTTCTTAAATGAATTGCTAATTGTCTGATATACAAAAAGGCATGGCTATATGAAAGATTATGATCAAATAAGTAAATTTCAACCAAAGAATGCCTCATAAAATTTATTCCTGGTAATGTGTTGGGTGATACGAATTTTGTATTCTGAACATATTTTATATACATGGTCTGAAACAGAAAAACATCAATAGAATTAACTATAGATATTTTTTTATATACCATATAATCTTTTTATAACATGTTGATCTCACTTTTAGTAACTTCTCAAGTGTAGAATCTTTGTAACTTGTCGCAATACGTAAAATATTTATAAAAGCTACAACACGAACAATTTCTTCTCCAGTTGACCAGAATTTTAACAAAATTCTTAACAATGGTTTAGTCAAAGACGAGAATGATTGCATGTAAGGTAACATTTGGCGAAGGTGCTTTAGAAGCACTTGCAGAATACTAGGTGATGTTACACTTTGTAATAACTGTGAAAAGAATAGGCTTAAAAGTATATACTTGTGTAACATATTTATTTAAAAATTATATTGTGTATGATAAATAAAAATTTATAAATACGTACTATAAGTAAATCTGATAAATACAATTTTAAGATTCCCCGTATTTTTCCAAATCTTTTAGATTTACATGCTTCCTGTGATTTTGGATCCAACTTTAAAAAACGCTTAAATGCATCAGGTAAGTGCAATATACACAGTTGCATCACACCATTAAATACTAAACATAATTTTTGAAAAAAATTCAAATTCAAATTATTTAAAAAATAATAAGTGATTTAATATGAAAATTAAAACTTACTTGCGCTTCCTTCTACTTTATATTGTGTATTTGTATCAGATGATACTGCAACACTATTCAAAGCTGCATGGAAGGCTTCTACAGCACGTTTAATACTAACTAATGATCTATAAATTAAAAATAAAGTAATTACAATTAATTAATTAATTAATTAATTTATTAATTTATTAATTCAATAACAAAAGAATAAAAATTTACTTGTCTGTTTGTATTTCTTGTTGCCAAGTTTTTAATAATTGCATGGTGATTTTCTTGGAATCATTTTCAACTTCCTCTGGCTGGAAATCACTGTCATCGCTCGCAATCTACAAATTCAACAATATTGTTAAAACTATGATATTAAAAGTATAAAGATAATTAAAATTATATCTAAAAGAAATATATGTACTTCTAAATTTTCATCAGGGATATGTCTATTATCATTGTCACTTATTGAAGAATTATCATCTTCATTATCTGATATTTTAAAATCCAATAAATTTTTGTCATTCTCTTTTAAATATTTATAAAATTCAGGATCAGTATCTTTCAGTTTCATCAATGATTTTTTATGTGTTACAGGATCCAAGTTACTTTCACCACTATCACTTTCAATGTGCTCATAGTTTTCATCACCTGTATAAAAAGCAATAAAAACATGCAATTTAAAATATGAAGGAAATCCAAATATTTTATAAAATAATAAGTAATTACCTATATTTTTATTACTGTTATCATTATCACTGTCTGTATCACTATCACCTTCAAAATTTTGTTCAAGAAATTCTTCTGTAGTTATTTTGCTTAAATCTCTTTTCTTTCTCTTAGCACTTGCTAACTTTCTTCCTTTAGATGATTTAAGAGTCACTTGATTTATTTTCTTCATCTTCATTTTTATAATGAACTTTTATGGTTAATTTTAATCACCTAGAAATTATATATAGAGGAATTATTTATGCGAGTTTAGGAAATTCGATAAATTTCTTTTTTAAAAGCGTTTTCAATGATTATCTCGCATAGAATACAATACATATATGACTAAAATGAGGTTAGGATATGTATAACATTCTCTTTATTTTTTGATTTTGAAATAGTAATTAATAATTACATACGATAGTTAATAATATGATGAAAATTTTTTTATCATATTATTTTATAATTTTTATTTCGCTGATTTACTAACCATCTATACCAAATATATATTACAAATATACGTAAACTTACAAAAAAAGAGTATCTCCACATGCTCTCGTCTCCGTACTTCCTAACCTCAATATATACAGTAGCGCAACTCTGGCAATTTTAGCGTAGGTAAAAATAAACTGCACATGCGCGGACTGATAGGTAACCAATCACGACAGTGACCTGTCTCGTTCTTTGGCCGGCATTCATAGTCCGGTCTCATTTATGATCATCTTAAGAACTCATTCCACCTAAAGTCACTAGATTAACAAAGTACCGCAATTTTGATCTCAATAAGATAAGATGGAGCAAAAATGACGTCCGATAGAGCAGATACATATATATATATATATATATATATATATATATATATATATATATATATATGTTAGACATAAAGCTAAAAAAAAACGTGGATTGTGTCGATTAATTAATTAATTGTTTTATTTAATTATCAATTTATATATGTATATTATTAACAATAATTTTTTGTTTACTTAAACTGTATAAGGTTGTACATAAGAAACAATCTTTTTTAGTATTTCAAACATATTTTCATAGAACTTTAATTTAATTATATTATTAAAAATATTGAACAAAATAAAGAATTAAAGCTGGCTTTCTCTGCAGTCTCATGGCAGATTATATCAGAAATCATACTTTAATTATTGCAATATATCATGAAACAAATCAATCTCAAAATAATGGAAATATTTGCAGAAATATCAAATATGTAATGTAAATATTTTAATTTTTTTGTATGCGATCTATTTTTTTATTCTATCGATGTTTTCATAGTGATGCACCTTGAGCACTTTGCTTCATATGTTTGCAATAAAAATATATTAAAGCAAATTATTTTGCAAATTTATTATTCTAATTTTTATTTAGAAAGACTAAGATTAAAAAAGACATATGCATTTTTTTCAGATATTTCTATTGAAAAAAACGCATCAGATAAAACTTTCCTGTACATTTTAAATGTGCCAAAAGATTTGCTCTTTATTCCATTTACTGCAATAATGTACACTAAAAATGACAGATCTATATTAAAAATGATAGATCTATATTTAATAGTTGGAAAGAAAGAGAGGAGAAATGAAAAGTGCATCTAGAGAATTTAAAAGAATAAAAATCTAAAAATAATAATACATAAAAATTAATATTATGTATTTTTTTCATGAGGAATATGGGGCGCACATTTATGCATTTATTTATTTAGATGAGATTTACTTTAGAGCACATTCAGTATTCAACTTTAATTTTATTTTCTCTTTCTTATGATATATAAGTATAACATAATTACCTGCAAATGCTATCATTTTTGTGTGCTTACAGTGATACAGAAGCAACATTACAAGTACTATATTTACAGATAACATCTGTATAATAAAAAAAGCACCAAAAATCTAATGATGAAAAAAGGATAAATATTGTAGACCAGCATAAGTATCAACCAATTATTCCACCGCTCTGTTTCATTAGAGTTGCAATTTTCTTTTATATCATAAATATTATAAATCAGATAAAGATTTCTGTACGTTTCAAATAAATTTATATATTTTATGTATGTAATACTGCGCACACATATTAAAAGGTGATAATATCGCAGTTATAATAAGATACAATCCTGGCAATGTAGTGATTTTTGGATTCTGAAAATAATTTAATTTGATTTATTTTTGAGAAATGCGTACAATACTTGAGAACAAATTATTTTTGTGCCATGTATTACCTGTGTAAAATTGCACACACAGTATCATATTGTCTGCGATATATTGAAAGCTTCATCGATGAAATATGATTGAGATATAAGAAAAGTACTTGTAATGTAGTAATATAGTATTTGTAATGAATAACGTTAATGTGGAATACATAAATATTTTATATTTTAATTTCATGTAATCGAGATGAGATAAAACACTCGTGATTACTTTAAAAATGTGTCCACAAATATCATGTAACTTCAATAGCTGCACATTGGTCAAATTAATCCTATTACGTTAAATCAGAATCACAGCAGGTTGTTTTAATTTAATCTAACCTAACCAATTATATTATATGCTTCTCATTAAAATGTATAAAATTGTACGTCGCACATTTAATACGATTAATATACTACGTAATAAAATGTAATACACTAATGAAATAATTAAATATTATTTTTGAAAGCATGATAAAATCCAGGGAGCATACGCTTGTGTTTACATTCGATATCCACTGAGAGGTTAAGTTAGGTTAGGTTAGGTTAGATCAAACAAATTTATCGTTTAACAGTTGGCAGCCCTACGAGATAGGCTGTGCAGCACTGCGCGTATATAAAATAAATTTGAATCGCTTCTAGCATAACCATCTTCACGCGATCGACTTTATTTGAATTGCACGGCATCGCATCGAATTATGATGCGGCGCCGATTTGTTTGAACGTAATTCGGGACATCGCGATGCTGTATAAGCGTCGAATGAGCACGAATTGTCACGCAAATATGATAATAAATCACATCTACTCACCGTTCACCGGCTGTTCCACAGGCCGCTCCACTCGCTTGCCTCGGGACGTCCCATTCCGATCTTGATGCACACGATATCATCAACGCGAACGCGCGACACTTTATTCGGCACTCCCGATACTCGCTCGCATCCGATAATCATCATCAAGGGCGCGAATAACACGACGCAACTTCGCTCCATCTTCGCGATGACGCCATCACTGAATATCGTCAAAAATCGCTGTCGCGCGTTTCCATCGACACACTATAAAAGTCGCGCGATCATCCTTGGACACTTTCGACGCTCGTTCACTCGCGATATTCGTTTAAAAACGGTTAAAAGACGCGAAAAATGCGGACGTACGACGATCCGTGTAACTGCGTATGATTCCGAGTCACGTATGACGCCTATGACGTAGCAATGACGCGTATGACGTCACGCGCCAACATGGCGGCCGAACCACTGCGCATTCGTTTCTGCTCATGGCCATTCCTGCGCACAACGTTCGCACAACTTTGATTTCTGAAATATTGTTTACGGCTTTAATTAATAGCACATAATGATAAATATATAAAGATGGAATCAATTAATCATATTGGTCATATATGTAGACTTGCCTGAAGGAAGAGTAAAAATTGAGAGATATTTTTAATTTTTTTTTTTAATAAAAAATGGAAATGTCTATTCATAGGCTTGTTCTTCTTTTTCTCTTTTGTGCAATTTCGATTCAATATATAACGTAGAAAATTCATAGTATATTGCATTTATTTTTATATATTCACAACTATAATATTCGCGCGATCATTTTCTGACATTTACAATACTCGTGTACCTTGTTCTCGATGTTCATTTTTAAAGGAATAAAGAGAATTATATATAAATGTAAATAAATTGTCCGAAGAGAGAAAAAATTGAGGGATATTTTTAGTTTTTTTAATAAAGGTTGGAAATGTCTATTCATGATAGAAATGCAAAGAAAGAAAATTATTATGTTTAAAATAATAATTTCATATGAAATACAAAATTAAAAGTTACATTATAGAACTTTACTTTCTAAAAGCGTAATAAAACAATCAAATAGTAGACAGAGAAAAGACTAATTGTAAAAGAAAAAAAGTTGTTAACTTAACTAAACCATTTAACTAAATTATTATCTTTTTAACTGGAATATTTAACTATTATAAATCTAACATGACATTTATTTAACTTAAATATTTCAATATTTTAATTTAAAAAATAATAATTTAGTTAAACGGTTTAGTTGAGTTAACAAAAACTTTTTTTTCTCAATGTACGTGTGTGTGTGAGACTTTAAAAATATACTTGGATATAAATACACTTACATTATTAAACGATTAATACATCTCGTGAGGTTTAATAAATAATTAAACTGTGTACACTGAAAAAAAAAGTTGTTAACTTAACTAAGCCATTTAACTAAATTATTATCTTTTTAATTGGAATATTTAACTATTATAAATCTAACATAACATTTATTTAACTTAAATATTTCGATATTTCAATTTAAAAAAAAATAATTTAGTTAAACGGTTTAGTCGAGTTAACAACTTTTTTTCTCAGTGTACGTGAGTGTGTGTGTGTGTGTGTGTGTGTGTGTGTGTGTGTGTGTGTGACTTTAAAAATATACTTGTATATAAATACAATTCTCACATACGTCACAGTACGCGTTAAATATTTCGGCAGCAAGCTAACACGTCATTCGACCTTGTGACGTCATTTGGCCTTGTGACGTAGCGCGCTATTGTTTACATACGCGACGACCTCCCCTCATTCGCACGGCGACATTCCAACGGGAGAAAGTAGCGATACGGACCGCTCCGTATTATCGAATTCTTTTCCTAAAAGTACGATCGCGATTAGATCGAAATATAATAATTCGACTATTACAAATGACAAATAATTAACTCTTATAATAAATGCAATGGCGACGATAAATTCATCGAAACGCGATCTTTCATTATTGCAAATAAAGATTGAAGCGAAAGGGGCAAAAATTAGTTAAATTTTCTCGCAATATTCTCCGATTATCGAACTTTACGAATAATAATTATTTCTTTAACATTGCATAGAATGAAATTCGATTTCGCCCGATGTTTTAAACTTTCCTAAACTGCATGCATATATATCATATTAATTAAACGATCAATTTATATTACTTTAATATTTTAATCTTATGATTCGCGTTATTATCCATATATTATACATCAACAAATAGAAATAGTTAATTAGTGTAAGAATCGAGTGGTGCATGATTTTGGCTTTGTTTAAAAATCGAGCGAATTATTGTAATTTTTCCTCTCTTGCAATAATAATAAAATAATAATAATATTATAAAAATACGTATCTCCTATGATTATTTTGCGATCGGGAGTGTCGTGCAAAGTGTCTCGCGATCGTTTCTGTATATAACTGAAATATAATTAACTGAAATATAATTGTTTGTTCGCGAGTGAATACGTGACTGCTACGAGGAAACAACAAAGGATGAAACAACAAAAGAGAAGGACATCTGGAAAAGTATCGGACACTCAGAAAGCAGGGAGAGAGCCTGAAGCAACCAGAGACATGCGGTGAGTAATTTATAAAAATTATTTATTATTTATTATTTATATACATTATTTTTAAAATAGATATATTGCTTATTATTTTATTATCGTTTTATTTTTCGATCATTTAAATATATAATTCGGATTGAAATGCAGTAAAACAATCGAATCGTGGATCTAAATAATTAACTTAACAAAAAGATCCATAAAAGATATATTAGTTCTTTTAATAAATAATATCGTATACTTAATCT